AGCGGCTTGTCAACAGCAGCCATTTTCTTGTCCATCATGTTGATGGATCCAACAGAGGAGTCGTCTCTTGTCGAGTCATCTGACTTGCGCTTGGCAACATGGTTGCATTTGTTTTCTTCTTGCGATCAGCTTGACCGCAGCGTTGGAACTTTCTTCATGAGGACAGAGAGTTCTCTTGGTGTAGGTCTTGGCGTCGTCGGACTTGCGTTTCCAAGTCTTGTTCTTGTTGTACGCTGGCTTGTTATCTTGTCAGACAGGACTGAGACTTGGCCTTGAGCTTCTTCAGATCATGCAGTCAGCAGTGTTGTGAGTGGTGCTGGACTCGTGGTAGTCGCACCATTTTTCTTCGTTCTTGAAGAGTCGTTGTTGCGAGTAGACTTGTACTTCTTGTGTTATTCTTCTTCGAAGGAGTTGCTTGGATCACCGCCTTGTCGAAGTCTTCGGAGATTCCATGCGTTCGCAGAATCCAATGGTTTCTCCGATAGGAGCTGAGAAAGGATCGAAGTCCGTGTTCGTCCATCTTCTTCATCCACGAGCGTGAATCCATGACAAACAATTTCAATGACTTCGTCATGGTTCAATGTTTGGTTGGGTCCAAAGGTGGTAGACGAGGAAGTTCTCGGTGTTCATCCGACTGAGTTGTTGACATAAGCCGAGTGGATATCAGCAGGCTTACGCACTTGCGGCGCATGAAGCGTTTCTGCTTTTCAAGAGCCTTGTAGGACAGACCGCTTCGATACAGGACTTTATGCCAAACGTAATGTCAGTATCGTCAAAGCAGGCTGAGCTGCTCCGTTCCAGGCAGCCTGGAATAACGTACTTGGAAAGCGGCTTCGTCTTCACGCCACGACTCGCGTGGAGGAATCGTTGACTGCAATCTGGCGCAAGGCATTCCAACGTATTTCACGGGCCTGCACAGCTAGATTCGTAACTGCTCTTGGCAGAGTAGAAGTCATCTCCTTGAGGAGGTTATGTTTGTCGCCAGGCGTAGCAATGGCGAGCCGACGAAGACCTTTCCATACGTCCAGCCACTTGATGGTCTGACGTGGGTCTCAGACCATTGATGATTGGACCTTGAAGGTGTACTTGGCGCTGTTAGCATCTGCTGGAACAGTGCGAAGTTTGTAGGTGGTGAGCGAGAATCGTCGATTTCACATTCATCGTCGCGGTCGATGAGAGGAAGGATTGGTTGTCGCGCAGCTTAGACTCGAAGTGGTGTACGCGTCTTTGGCCATCTTCATTGTGAGGAATAGTTGAGGTAGCTGAAAGCTATTTGTTTGTTAACAAAATGCACTACGCTAAAAGCTAGTGTAAAGATCTTTCGAGTGTTTTGGGTTTGAGAGAATGAAAGTTATGAGAGGATTTGAAAGCTATGAAAACTAATCAATGAGAGAGATCCACAATCAAGGATCGTAGATCTGAACTCCCGCGGGAGACTGTAGAGTGTGATAGAGTAGGTTGCGGTAGCAACCTACCACTCCACGATCCAAAAACGGAACGCGTGAAGATTCGTCTAGCATTTACTAGTAGCGTGGAATCTCTCCACGCCAGCTAAATATCTAGCGATGTTTCACCATCGACCTAGTATGACTAGGGTCATGAGAACCCTGTCTCATGACTATTCACGAAAGACTCAGTCATGAGTCGAACTCAAACCCTATCTAGGATCGAGTCGCGAATAAGGCTAAGAGCCGTGTATTGCACCATTGATTACAAAGTCGTTAATCTGAGTGCCCTGGATGACGCTGCTGTGGTGGCAGATCTGGTTGCCGTCGTCGTGGAACGTGTAACACTCATTGTAGATCATGGGATCTTGGTTGTAGTTTTGGTAATCTGGGTCAGTCTGAAATGTGACTTGCTGTGACATGTTGTAGCAAAGGTGCCGTTGTACGATGGGGAGGTGATATTCTCGTAGCACTGGGTGCAAGCGTCGGTACAAGTAGTGGTATAGAGATCGCCGGATCCAGAAGTGTAAATGGTGTCGGCAAATTCTTCCGTTTGAATGCAGGGGGAGCAAGAGGGATTCCAGGGCTGGTTAGTATATTTCATCTCCCCGATGAGCTCCGCCTCGTGTTTCCAGTACTCGCATCCGTTTTTGGCATCCCTGGCCCAAATGCTGTACGATCCAGTATCTTCCACCACGGGATCGGGCGTTGTAACCAAAAAGTAGCAAGAAGTGTTGGTTTGGACTGTGAAGTTCAGAAAAATAGTCTTGTCCGTGTTATACCCGTACATTTCGTCAAACCCCAAGCAGGTAAAAGCTGTGCCATCGCAGTTCCCTTCCAAGACGCTGATCGTAAAGTTCATGGCTTCTTCATAGCCACCGGCTTTTAGCTTGAGTTCAAGGGAAGGCAAGGCATCGGCCCAGGGGCTCGAGATATACAGCTTTGCCCAGGCCCCCGAAGTAGCGACGTAGTTCGGATCAGAGGAACGGCAATCCATGGGAACCTTGTCCAGAGTAACATTCGTCGTCATATACTCTTCTCTAATGCCACCGGAGAACATGTGGTCGCGATCGTCTTCATAATAATCACGGAAAGATTCATCCGAATCCTCACAGCTCGGTTACCAATGCCACAGAGCACGAGATGGAGCGATGAGCACGAGGCTAGCGATGCTGAACAGGGAAAGCTGCATCTTCGGTTCTTGTGACTTTCTAGCTAGCTAGAGTATGTAGCAACACCCTCGAAGAATTCTGAAGTTGTTGGTGCTGTGGAAGTCAATTGTGAGCAAAAATCAACAGATCGAAAGATGCCCGAAAAGAAATGAAGAAAGTCATGGTCCTTCAGTCTGGGCGCTAATACTAGCTAGCTAGTATATTTACTGCGTACATTTGTACTGGTACGGAGGCATTCAGATCAGTTCGTCGAGAGTCACGAAGTAATGACCCAGCGACCCAGCCAAAAAGTCCTTTGGGCAGTGCTCCTGCGAATTCCTGCTCTACCAGTCTGGTATCGGGTAATATATATGGGATATGCACACCGGACCCTTTTGAACCCAGTGAGACAACCAACACATGGTCGGAGGCTTATGGAAAACTTGGCTCCATTATGCATCAATCAAATTTTCGGTACCGGTACCGGTCTTGGTACCTGGTAGTAGCTTTACGTACCGTACAGTACTTGTTCCACCGTGTCAGCCTTCAGCCAATTCGCGCTGCGAGAAAAGAGCCCCAGAACCACCGGGCAGCCAATGGGGAGGGACTCATTGGTCGCCTTCGAAGTCAGTGTTCGACGAAGTAGATCTACATGTAATAGCGTTTTTGCTGTCCACCAAGGGTGTCCCCTTTAATGTGTCTGTCAAACAAGCGAAGAGCGGGTATCCTTGAAAGGAGTAAGCCATCTTGCTCAAAGATTCCAAGGCATGTCCCCCATATTCTAGTTCAATTTTTTGCAGTACCAACAGATCTACTAGGTACACAGTGAGCTTCTTCCACAGCTGAAAAAGTAACCAGGCTGTGGATCTACTTTGTGCTTGGCCACCGGGCTAAGTGACAGTAAAAGAGGTTACAAACTAGACAGCTAGCAAGCATCAAAGCAGCAAAAGATTACACCAACTGAGAATTGAACTCAGGACCTACGCCGTGTTAAAGCGTCGTCATAACCAACTAGACCATCGGTGCTTTGCTGCTTCTGCTACTTGCAATGCTGAATTTTGAGTACTTGATCCTAAACTTGAAAAAACCAACCTTGCAGGACCCCTTTTTTGGACAATAGATCAAACAAAAGCTAGCTAGCTATACAGTACAGCATGCAATCAAAGGTGTCCGTAGCACCTTGTATGGGAGGCTATCTAGCTAGCTTCAAGTTGGCACTTTCCGCCAGAAGGTCCACTCTGCGGGAACAGTGTAAATGTCTTCAATGTGCGCACCGGACCAACGAAATCACATGTAGCATGACTGGTGAGTGGACGGCTGTTTGAATCCGCAAGAACTGAACGAACAAACTGAGGGACGCTCCTTGATGATCAACAAAGCCCTCTGATTCGATTCGACCTAATACTTACCGTGATGGATATTCGTTTCCAATTGGATTTTGTGAGGCCCCTCTTTCGTGTTGTGACTATCCAGTCATTCCACACATGAAATATACCTGATTGTCCCTTACACAATGCCTTTCCTGAATTATCTTTCTGAAGCCAACATCTCACTCACACTATCGGCAGTTCCTCATGACGATTATTTTCCATAATCATAATCATGCACCGGATACAAAATCCCGACAATGGATACTCGTCGATGCGTCTCTGCAGCTGCTCATTGTACTCGATGCAATAAATGGACATGTCCCCGGGCACGGTCTTTCGACACGACGGGCAGCTCCAGTTTTGCTGTCCTAGATTACTGCTCAACCACTGCTGAATGCAGCCTTTGTGAAAGACGTGTAGACACGGTAGTGTGACCAGGACGATCGAGGTATCATTTCGGAGCACGTCTTGGCAGATGGCACATTCCGTCTGATCATCTCCCTTCAAGCCCAGATCCATGAATCTCATATCATTGCTCTCGTTGCCATAACATCCCGGCTTGGAAAGTTGCATGACGCGTCCAAAATTCCCTGCATTGTTGAGCAACTCGCTTCCTCCACCACAGGGAAAACAATAATCGGCATCTTGTGCCGTTCCTTGTCGAATTTTCTGTAGCAAATTCCCGTACAAGCGTAGACGATGCATCAGATCGGGTCGATCGGCATGATCGTGTTTTTGAATGGCCCGTTCCAAACAGGGTACCAAAATGTCGTCGGCAATGGGTGTTGAGGCGGTCATGAAATTCTCCAAGGCTTGATTGGCTTCGAGGGGAATCAAATTTTGCCATTTGAGCGACAGCTTTTTCTTTTTTTCTTCTTGGCTAATGAGCCAACAGTGGACTCGCGCTTGATCCTGATCGCGGTCAAATCCAGTGACCTTGCAGAGTTTGCCGTTGAGGGCTTGACCTCGTTCGCTCTTGAGATGCGCAATCTTGAAGGAGCGGCCGACTTGTGCCTGAAGCTGTGGATAGATGACTTGCTCATAGAGCACCGATACAGGCATTCCCTGAAGGCTCGCCATGGTGCTCTCTTGTATTACGGTACTTTCTAAAAAAAGAAACAAAGTCCTCTTGCTCTTCGAAAATAAATGCTGCGAGCCGGCCTTCCAAGATCTTCCGTCACAGCAAATGAGATTCGAAAGCTCGAACCCTCATCGGGATAACACGTCACAAAATGAGCGTCATTGCCCCCCCAAATCCATCACCAAAAGATCCAAAGATCGACCACATCAACATTCTCTCCCACACATCAAACAAAAGGCCTTACATTGGAAGAGCGAAACGAAGATGCGACCGAACGAGATTCATAGATTCAATTCAACTGAAAGGGTCCGTCAAGGCTTCTCAATAGGTTCAAAACGCAGCGTTGGTTGTCTTCCTTTGAAAAGTTAGAAGGTGTAACAAAGCGGCAGATGGAAGTTGTGATGAGGATATCACTTTTCTGGCTGGTTTTATCGCTGGTGGCAGTCTCTTCCTTCACCATTCCATACTCCTCCTCCTCTCCACATCAGACTGCCAGTACATGTAGTAGTACTACATCCAGTCGATTATTCTTATCATGGGAGAAACAGCCGTGGGAGAAACAGCAGTGGCAAGAAGACCCTTCACAGCAGCAATCATGGCAAGACGAAGAAGAAAATCCATACATTCAGTCCATACGGCACTTTGAGGCGCAGGTCGAACAGGCAGAGCAAGAAAAACAAGCCGTCATTCAGGATATTGCCAACTCGTTGCAGTCCATCCTTCAACAAGAAGGTAGCGGTGGAGAATACAAGAATAATGACAATGAACTTTCCCAACCAGGTGAAGAACAAGACAACATGTTTGCAGCACCAGAACAACAAGACGACGATGATGACGATGGCTTGATGATGGGCATGCCGGAAATGGTCGAGTGCGATGTGGCCATTGTGGGTGGTGGTCCCGCTGGGTGCACATGTGCACTCTACACGGCGCGAGCCAGGCATAAAACTGTCATTTTGGACAAGAATCCAGGTCTCGGTGCATTGGCCATTACCTCGCACATTGCCAATTATCCCGGTGTCGACAAGAGCATGAAAGGAGACGAATTGCTAGAACGAATTCGCAGCCAGGCCATTGACTATGGTGCCGACTATCGTCGAGCACAAGTATTCATGATTGATACCGCCATGGAAGAAAACGGTGAAACTCGACATACCGTCTACACACCCGATGCCGTTTTCAAGACCAGGGCACTGGTATTTGCGACCGGTGCCATGGGACGAGTGGCCAAACCGTTTCCAGGAGAAGATGAATTTCTAGGACAAGGTGTCAGTTACTGTGCCACTTGTGACGGTGCCTTTTATCGTGGTGAGGATGTCGCCGTCAAGGGAATGAATATGGAAGCCATGGAAGAGGCGCAATTTTTGACCAAGTTTGCCAATACGGTACATTGGGTGACACCCTCCCGACCGCGTCCCGATCAAAGTGAACATGTACGGGAACTCTTAGCCAGTGGCAACGTCATTAAATGGCCAACCACAAGATTCTTGGGCGTCGAAGGCGATGCAGTCAAGGGGGTCACAGGGATCAAAGTCAAGCAAAAACAATCGGACGAGCCCGAAGTCATACCCGTGACCGGAGTCTTCATCTACGCCGGTGGAGGAGGCGGTTCCAAACCAATCACCGACTATGTCAGCAGCAATATTGACTTTAAGGAAGATGGTGGTGTCATTGTCAATGAAGAAATGGAAACCAATGTCAAGGGAGTCTATGCCATTGGTGACATTCGCAACACGAATCACAAACAGGTCGTCGTGGCTGCAGCGGACGGATGCATTGCGGCCATGTCGATTGACAAGTACTTGGCAGGACGCGAGAATGTAAAGGTGGATTGGATCCACAAGTGAATGAACGAACATTGCATGTCAACTTACAAGGAGGGTGCATGTAGAGAATTCGATGGCAAAACAGCAACAAAAAAACACCCTGCGCTTTGACCTGACGGCCAGCGAAAGCACGTTGAAATCCAGAAATTCATGTGCGATGATCAATCATCTCCTGATATGGTCTGCAAAGCAAAGCAACTGGTCTGCGTTGCTTTGCTTTGCACGATCATTCATACCTTCATGCTCTAGAAACCAGCTAGCTACGATAATATATTTCCCGATAAACTAGATTCCAAAGCTAAATTGAAACGTCTTTTGGAAGCCCTTTTTCACGGGCGCGGCAAATCGCCTACAGTAGGGGAACTGGTTTTTAGCCTTGCAATCTCACTAGTTGCCCAGAAGTAACCAAGAGAGTTGTTGGCGTTAGCCGTCTACATCCCGGGCACATCCATTCCATATTTCTCCTTCATCTCCTTTATTTGCTCCATCTTGTTCAGGTAAGCCTGGAATTGTTGGACGGCATAGGTGTTTCGTGGGTCTGTTCGCACCGCCTCTTGCAGAATGCGTCCTTGCTTTTGAAAGTTCTCGGTGGTGCAATATCCCCGCGCTACCAGCAAGTTGCTTTTGGTCCGATCCAATGCACTACTTTGATGCCGAATTCCTCCTTCTATTCGTTGTTCTTCCAGCACATCCATGGCAATGTCAATGTAATAGTGAGCGTCGTCGCATCGACCAAGATTGTACAAAACCATGGCGTATACAAAAGTGTTGGAAGGCCCGTCCACTCGTGCATTTCCAATGGGCCGCATGACTTCTTCCGCTTCCGCATATCGTTGCCGCAGCGATAGTTCGTACCCACAGTTGTACATTGTATGGTGAGACCTTTCAGTCGAGTCAGAACGAAACAAGAGTTAGGTTGGACGCCCCAGAGAAATCTTTAGTAGACAGAACATTGAATTTCTCATCACTCACCTCGGATTGACATTGAAAGCCTTTGTCCAGAGAATTACTGGACTGCTCCAAGCAATGTTACGTTCGTGAAGTTTCACCGAGAAGAGTCCAATCTGAATTAGGCACAAGAGCTGACCCAACAGATTGACCCGTAAACGAGATTTCGTTACTGGTTTTTTTGGAGCCTGTTCACTCTTTTGTTTTCCATTGTCACTGTTGGTTGTTGTGGACAAATCTTTGTCCTTGTCTTCTGCAGAGTCAAGTTTGCCCTCAGCCGATGGCTCGTTCTCGCTCTCGGGCGCCGGCTCTTTCTTTGCCTCGGATTCACTTTTCAGCTCTGGTGGCGGGTCACTCTTGCCTTTGGTTGTCGATTCGTTTGTCGTGTTGGGTTTGGCTGCTGTAACGGGAGGACTCGTTTGGGCTGGTTCCAGAATGTAGGAACAACATAGCGTTTTCACCAGCAGTGCCTCCATGATACAGAACCCAAACAGCGGGAGGTACACGACACGATCTGCCTTCATGAATCCTCCGACGACCAGCAGATGGGAGGATAGCAAAAAGGGCAGGAACAAAAAGGCAAAAAACGCCATCAACAACACCCTCCTCACTTCCGATTCGAGTATTGTTGCGTGCTCTGGCAATCCCACAAAGAGCGACTGGACACACGCAAAGGCAAAAATCCACAAGAAAATGACCAAGAGCGCCCTGTGATCGGAAATATCTTCAATGAGATCAATACTGACACCACTCCAATCGGGTGCCAAATAAACTGGAAAGATCATATCCCGAATATAGAGGCAATAGACCCAATTCAAGGAAAATGCCCGTGTAAAGCGATGTTCCGCAAATCCAGCGGGGTTTTGATCGTAAATGAAATCGGGACTGCTCTCTCCATTCAACCATTTGCGCCATCCCGCCATGAGGATCGTTTGAATGGCCAAGACGACGGTTCTGCCGAGGAACCGAAGCGAGTAGGAGTCTCTTTGAAACAATAATTTGGAAAAGTATTCTTGAGCCGACGTGTGGTGTTTCAAAAAGTCATAAGCGACCAAGGCACAGAGAGTGGTGGCTCCTTGTTCTTTGGAGAAGAGTGATGCCGTCATTCCTACCCAGGGGATGATATAGACACAGAGAATGGACTGCATCATACCACCTGCCCCCTTGGGAGAGGGAGTATTTCGTGCCGGTAAATGACTGGCAAACGACAAGAATGCCACGAGAAAGAAGAATGTCATGAGCAATTCTCCTCGACTGGTGATATCTGTAGAGAAAGAGAGAGCAATTAAGCAAGCGAGATGATTGAGCAATCCATTCAAAAGCATTTTTACGACGAGAACGACATCTACTGTATCTTACTGGACACAGATTCAGCATGGACAGGATGCAACCCAAATATAAACCCGGTAATCAACTGCGCCAAGATATCTCCATCGGACGTTCCTCCTAGGACTGCAGGATCATCAAAGACGAAAGCTGCCGCTTCGGTGACGAGCCCCGAATTGATGCCATGCAGTAGTACATTGACCACGTGAAAATAGTGCGTGTGCTCTTCGGTATCGGCCGTGCCCAAATAATCGGCCAACATCCAATTGGCTTTGAAGGAGAGTGTGGTAATGGGGCGGAAGGATTTGTGCGATTGGGGTTCCTTCATGGGCGTTCCCCAAAAGTCTCGTGTAAAGGCATCCTTCCAAGGCACTTGACCGTTGACCACCACATTCTTGGCCACACTGCCCGCGTCGTCGTAGATCCATTTGCCTCGCAATGCTTGATGATCCCAGTAGGCAGCCAGTGCCACTATAGTCGTCCACAGCGACGGACGCTTCAAGATATTCCAAAGGACTCCCAACATTTATCTATCTTCTGGATTGTACTCTACTATCTAGCTAGCCTGAGAGAGTAGTGTCTTTGTCGTGGCTTTTTGGTTCGGTTCTTCGAACTCCTTCCAATTGACCGTTGTATCCATTAGATTTCAAAAAGCCGGCAGGCTGTTTACATACACAGGTCCCCTTTACCCAAAGCGGTACTAGGCCGGTACCGACATCGGGAGGTGCAGGTTTCAAGCGCCGAGCCACCGACAAGATCAAGTGTGCATGTTTTCGATCTGGTGTAGAAACCTTACCAAGACCTTCGGCGAACAAGATCGAAACCAGGAACCACTTCCTCCGACCTTCCCGAGCACAAGAGTGGGACCTATCGGCAACAACGATCACCTTCTGCTCACAAATTGATTGCAAAAGCAAACAAACCAACTCACAAAGCAACACAAAGTAACACAGAAGAAAAGAAGAACAAAACACTACAAAGACAACAACCATGACAATCTCTCAGGAACAAAACGTTGAAATGAAACAAAAGATGGACATGTTGCTTGCATCGGATGCCGACCTTCAGCAAGAGGAAACTCCCGTGGCGGTCAACGACAACGATGCCAAGGCAACCCAGCCAACCCAGCAGCAGCACCCAACTACTACTCGCCATCCGTTCCAGTTCATCCCCTTGTCCATGGGAGGCGGTGGTCGCTCCCATGTTCCATCTCCAGGCTCGCGATACTTGATGGAACACGAGGTGACTTTGGAGGACTTGCAAACAGTCACGGACAAGTTCTACGAGCTCGCCTTTCAGGACAAGACTCTGGACAAATTCATTCGCAGTCACAACGACCCCCATGGATCCCGCTTTGCCAAGTGGATTCATCAAAAGCTCAGTGGCTCCCATGTCTGGGATCAGGATCGGGCTGCTCGCGGGCGCGGTTGTCCTGTCCATGACCGAAGTTCGGCCCATGTTGCGGCATGGTACTCCCCCAAGCGTCCGGCATCCGAACGAGGCGAGCATTTCCAGTTGGAGGATTGCCGCACATGGATGCGCTTACACTTTTGGGCCCTGCGCGAATCGGGAGTGATGGAAAAGAGTCCCAGTTTCGCCGATTACTATGTCAGGTACGTCTCTCGTTGCGTTGCGTACGACGATATGATGGTCCCGTCACTTTTAAAATTGTCTACCGTACGATGATTCATTCCAAACTCACTCACACCATTCTCTTTCTCTTATTTTCAGGTTCATTGCCCATTTCGTGCGTGTCTACGAGTCCACGGCTCCTCCGTTTGCCAGGGATGCGCTTCGCTGGTCGGCGGATCCAAAGAATATCGAAGAGTACATTCGTAACGGACGTAAGATGAAGGACGTTCTTGGTTTGAATGCTTACACCGCCGCGGACCAGATCCCTGAGGATGAATTGTACGATCGCGAGTGGCCATACAACATGGAAGAGCCCAGCTCCTCATAGCACCTTGACTCACCTCACAACAATGATATTATGTGCCCCGAAAGACCCAACAACAACGAACGAGAACGAAGAAAAGTACGAGAGTATATGTATGCGTAAAAAGACGACGGAAGTGCCAAAGAAGAATCGAATCTTCAATCAAAATAAACAAAGTAGTAGTAATAGCAAATAAAAGAACAGAAACCAAAGAGTTTGGGTCTGTTGTCGTTCTATATTATTGAGTTGGTTTGTAGCGATCACACCGCACCCCCAAGATTGGCTGACTCTCCTCAACAGGCATAGCGAGTTGTCATTGTTTTCCCCCAGTGGTTGTGAATAAGCCTACTGGAAAAGGCGCCGTAAGACCGGGCATTTATTCTGAGGGGCAAGCTCCGGCAACACTATTGATTCTCGTCATCCCCCGAGCCTTCATCAGATTCTTGCTGTTCTTGATTTCCTTCTTCTTTCTGCTTTTGTTGTTGCTTTTTCTTTATTGCTTTTTCAGCCAAAGGTTTCAGTAATTGTTGAATTTGTCGTGAGGTGGCCCTATTGGAGGGATGTTGGACCCAGCATTTGAGAATAGCTGTCACCAGTGCCTGGACCATAGGGTCTTTACTATTCAGGTATTTTTCTGGAATTTCCGGTCTCTTGCCCCTTTTCACAGCTTCTTGTGCATCCGTCTTTTTCATGTCCTCAAAAGGATACTGCCCGGTCAGAATCACATAGAAGATGTTCCCCATGCTGAAATTGTCAATGGCAGCAGTTTCAGGTTCGTAGGCTATTTATAAAAAGCCGCAAATAATGAAACCAGCATGAATCATTCATGAGTTCCTTCATACACCAAACAACGTCATAAACCTCTTTTTTTCTCAAAACAACCACTCACCATATTCTTCTGGACTGCGGAATTTGCCCTTGTTGCTACTGACATGAAATGGACACAACTCATTGGGATCGTCATTGGTCCGGTACAAGAATCGTGCTCGATTGAAATCATTGATCTGATAGGTCTCGCCATTATCGGTAGACACAAACTGACTCATACTGATATCGGTGTGCGACATGCTGGGATATCCCTCTCGATCAATATTGTGGACATCGGCAATGGAATTGGCCACTTGATAGGCATATACCATTTTGGTGACAGGTGTCCATTTCTTCCACTCCTTTTCATTATCCACAGCATCTTCCAAGGATCCTCCTTCGGCAAATTCATACAACCCCGTATTGCCACAATACCCATACAAATTGAGCGCATACGGCGATGCTGTCAATCGTTCCGTGGCAAGTGCATCTCGTCGATGTCGATCTTGATTTCGTTCCGACCAGGGATGTTGATATAGCAATGTTTTCATGGCAATGGGTTCTCCCAATATGTCGGGTGGCAAATCGTTGTCTTCGACAAACCAGACATCGCGATATCCACCGCGTGCCAAGAGCATTGATTCAGGTTCTTCTGCCGGATTGAGGGTTCTCATGCGAGTCAAAACATCAATTTCGTGGAGTGAATTGCAATTGGGAAATGACAACGTTTGCCAATCGTACTGTGGGACGCAATCTTGCTCGGGATCATCAGGTTTGTACCGATTGTAGTCTTTGGAATTGTGGGCAATGTCCTTTTGTTGTTCCACGCCATTGCCCAATTCCCGGACAAGGACATTTTGAAAGGACCAAGAGGGTTTTCGAAATTTCTTTTTCAATGATGCTTTAGGTGGATCCGAAGGTGAAGAGACTATATCGACCACTCCATGATCTCGCGGATTGATGCGCGCGACTTGAAATTGTTCTGGGACAAACTTTGGAGGAGAAATATCATTTTGCTTCATTTTAGCCAGAGCAGAACTTCGTCGTCGATTGATATTGTAATTGGCGGCGAGACTCTCGCGGGTAGGATTCACCAGCAGAAATCCAATCATGAGTGGTTTGGCTTGATACTGGGCTCGTTGAATGAGAGACTTCCAAGTGAGTTTATCCCATGTGTTCGATGGCAGCAAAATATCACTATATAAAACTCGTTCTGAACTGACCGTACGGGGTTCGTCAAAGGTCATTCTCAGCCGTTGTTGTGGCGTGTTGTCGAGGGAAAACACGATGGGATCGTGCATTTTGGTCACAATGGCAAAGGTTGATCCAGCCACTAACGTCCCCAATATCATAAACCCATACCAGCAAGGTTTCCCTCGATTCCGTAACAGACACAGTCGACCCGTATCCAAAAAGGATCGCTTCGGTTTGCCAATGCCATTTCGAGATGGGGACGGTGAAGGTGAGGAACCCTTGAGTTGATGATGTCCATTCTTCTTCACGGGGGAAGGATCGGAAGAAGAGGGGCTGCTACCCTTGCCTCCAACGGGGGACCTTCGAGTTGACATGGTATCTGACATCTAATAGAGCTCTTTTCCCTCCTATCCAGCCAGAAGTTGATGAGGTTGGAGGGATTTGTCGAGGTCAGATTTGATTTTGTGCTGCCAAAAGATCGTGGAAGAGCACCTTTAAACCGTTGGAGCTGTCAAACAGTAATACTAGTAGTACCTTTTCGTAGTCGGAATGGCACGCGCCATTCGTGGTACGACCGGCGTGTCTTGCTTGGATGAGTGTGCCGGTACCGCTACTGTACCGGTACAGTACTTGTTATCGTTAATTATGGTACGTTGGCGTGTTTTGTGGAGCTAATAAAGGGATCGTACGCTGTATCAGCGGCTAATCACAGGCTTCTGATAACTGGTGATTACATGTAGACATCGGAATTGAATAGAAAGTAGGTACGGTGCATCAATAAAGTAAGTGTGATCAGTGGCATCGATCGACATCTTTGGTTATTTACATGCGAACAAATTTTGCTATCAAGCTCCAGAGAGGAGCTCTACTGCGGGGCCTCATCATTCTCGATGACCACAATTCCTGTTGGGCAGACTTAAATAAATCACCCAGCTGCATTCCCTAGCTATACTGGACCGTCCGACGGTTTTCACTCAGGATTTAAAAAGATTCCGCGACTGACAAAAACTTGACCAGCACAATTAAGGGATTGTTTCTTAAGGGATTGTTTAAGGGATGGTCAAAGATTTAAAGGATTGTTGTTAAGGGATTGTTTATTTAAGGGATTGTTTAGGAAATAGTGGAAGAAATAGGGGATAGTTGTATGGTATGTCCATTTGGCGTTAAGGGATTGTTTAGGGGATAGTCCAAGATTTAATGGATTGTTTTAAGGGATTGTTTCTTTAAGGGATTGTTTAAGGGATAGTTGATGAGTTAAGGGATTGTTTAAGGGATTGTTTTTATTAAACGGTCAGTCAGTCGTGGCAATTTCAAGATTTTTAAAATCCTGTGTGAAAACCGTCGGACGGTCCTGTAGACGAACTAAGCTAAGTCCTCTGAAGTTTGCAATTTGGAAAAGACGGAGAAAGCGTCCCATCTATTTTCCCTCTTGGCCCATCTTCGCATGTGCCGGTTGTGCTCAATGACCATTGATTATCACGGATTCGATTCGATGCCTGATTCGTCCAAAGCGAGCTGAAGGTGAGGTGCCAAGCGCCAGGGCATCGAGATTGGCTGTTGTACATTTATTTACTACGTTGCACGGTGTGCGGCTGGAGCTGGTGGGTGCGACCTCTTACTAGTACGCTGTACGCTGAACGCTGGTACGTACTGTTGCTGAGCTCTTTTGAGTTCCAATTGGACAGTTATGTTCTAGCTAGTGTTCTAGCCAGTAGTAGTGCTCGAGTACAGAATTTCATAGTGAGATCTCGATTGCCAAACTACTATTAATAGTAGCTAGCTAGTACCAGGTACTTTGAGTACTGGAGTATTATACTCTACTACCGGTAGCTAGAGTACGGCTATTGAGTATCCTTATCCAATACAGTACCGGTACCGGTACCATACTAGTAGTACCGGCTTACGCGTATAGTCGTACCGTAGCATCGAAACCCCTTATGTCTAATATGTGTTCTAGGAGTACTGTTCCAGGTTCCATTGAGTCAAGCTGAGATTTAGGATTTATTGAATACTAGTTATTAAAGTACTAGTATGGTTTTGACAGTTTACAGAATATGCAACTGCTTGTAGTGAAAGAAGCTGTTAACGTCGACAATGACATAGTCCTATTGCCCCCAGTCTACTGAAGGTTAGTGAGCCTGCCCTTTGAGAATTTCAAAGAAGGCCCAAAATGACTGAGAACAGCTCTGCCTGAGAACTGAGAGCAACGAGGGCTGAAGGCTACGAATGCCAGCGGACACATCCGACGCTTTGCTTTAAAAATTTGACCATCATCAAAAGCGCAGCTCAAAAACTCAACACGCTCTGCAGCTCGGCTCACACACCCGGTATTGTCCTGTACTGCACCACATGCTTAGCTGAAGCTGAAACAGAGCTTGCTTCTACATAATAATAATAGTCTGCATCGGTCAAAGAGCACCATGTCCAACCAACTGAGGTCGCAACGCAAAGAGGCAGCTGAAGCCGAAACGGGGCCACGAGATACAGGCGAAGCAGAGATAGAGAAGGCAGAAACCACCTCACTGGGTGTTAATCATCATGATGAAGAGTCTGGGCTTGCCCCCGACGAGAACACTGTGGGTATGATCGGGAAAATGCTCATTCTACAACAAGAAAACGAAGGAGCAACAGCCACGAGACTATCGCCTGCGGAGATGCGCCAGTTGGTTCCAGCAAGACAATCCGGTGAGGTTGATGGTACCGAAAGAGGAGGCGACAAAGATGGTAGAGGTCTTGCTTTTAAGGATCAGCCGGAAGCAATGAAACGCTCAGTGGAGGATGGAGAAGATGACATTGAAGCTGCCTTATCTGCCACCAATGTGCATTCATCGTCAAAAGATGTCTCCCCTTCCCCTTCGGACAAACCCTGCTGCTCCAAGAGAGATAGTGTCACAAGTCGAACGGCCAGTGTCACAAGTCACAGAAGTAGCGGTACCAGTGCTGCACCAGGTGCATTCGCGGTAACCGGAGCGGCGGAAGCATGGAGGCAGGAGACGGATTCCCAGGATGCTACTGCCGATTCCGAAGCCATGCATAACCCCGACTCCGACGATAGCAGCGGTGCTGGGTTGGAGACACTGGCAGAAGCAAACCCCGTTACGGAGACTGAGGATCCAGACGATATGCCGCGAGCAGTGCCATTCGAGAGAATGATCAAACCAAACAAGAAGTGGTCCGAAACTCTACCCAGACTGGCCCTTCCTGTGGGCTTCTTCTTTGTAGTTCTTGTCTCCATCACAGTTGTTTCAATTTGCGCAAAGGGCGTCTGTCAGGTGGATGGCAGTGAAACAGGAGGCACGCTGCGAGAAACTGTGGAAGGACCTCGCATTAAGAATGCGCTGATGCACGTGTTGGGTTCAGACTACTTTAACCCGCAAGGGAACGCAAGCTGGAAGACAAGACGAAAAGCCCTGGGATGGATTCTGAACAAGGACCCCATGCAGCTCCATGCCGAGGACGAAAACTTGGTTCAGAGATTTATACTCGTACTCTTCTACTTTCAGACGACACAAAGCCGTCCTTGGCACGATTGCAACCCGAGTCCGGAGACACCAACCAAGTTCTGCTACAAAAATCCTCATCCCAATGAACCTTTACTACTGTTGGGCGAACGGTGGCTGTCTGGGAATCATGAATGTCAGTGGGCTGGCGTTGATTGTTACACTACTGATGCGAGCCAAATGAAGGTTATAGGGCTTGATCTAGGTACGAAACCATTGTGTGGTTCTTGCTTGTTAGTGTAGCCTTGCAAATGTCGAACCGATGCCTCATACGTTTCCTTTTTTTCAGGGTTCAATGGTCTCAATGGCCCCCTCCCCTGGGAAGTAACCAAACTCTCCCATCTAAAAGAACTCAGGTTGCGAGATGGCGAGCTGTCTGGGACTGTTCCAAGCCTCCTACACAGAGACTTCGGCGCCACCCTGGAGGTGCTGGATCTTCGTGACAATATCTTGACGGGACCACTCCCAGTTGGGCCATTTCGAAGCTTGCGTTCACTCATCTTGAGCAACAACACAATCAGTGGCACCATTCCTAGTACAATAGGAATGGTTCCCCTTGAAACCCTTTCATTAGCCCACAACGCAATCACAGGTACAGTGCCTCATGAAATCTTTCTCCAGCCATCCATTAGAGGGCTGTACCTCTCCAACACCCAAGTAAGTTGCCAGGTTGTCAGACCAGTTCACCGTTCATCCTCTAAATGTGCTCACCATGCCATATTAAAAACCTCCAACAGCTAAGTGGAACCTTGCCCACAGAGGTATGTCAGGCAAAGAACCCTCACTTCGGCTTGGGGGGATTGCCCAAGGCTTCGGCCACGGCGCAGGAGTGACTGTCCATTGTAACGATTTTTTTTATTTTGTAGGTAGGACAGGCAAGAAACTTGTGGCACTTGTTTTTGGGAAACACTGGCCTCTCTGGGAGCATACCCTCGCAGATTGCATTGTTAAAACATTTGGCAGAGATGGATCTATCCACCACAAGGATGGGTGGACGCATTCCAGAAGAGCTCTATCAAGGACTGCATGATTTGAGGAGTCTCAGGATGGCCAATTGCGGCTTCACAGGCACCATCAGCTCGGGCGTGGGACTGTTGACCAACCTTTTTGTGCTCGATGTTGCCAATAATCAGTTGGAAGGAACCTTGCCAGAAGAAATATCCAATTTGAGTGATCTGGATCGCTCCAGGTGGAATGGGAACAACTTTTCAGGCATCGTGCCTCTAAATTTGTGCTATGAGCGCCTGGTACACATCAAGTTTGAGCTTGTGGCTGACTGTTCACCAGACGCTGCAACAGGTATACCAAGAGTCCAATGTCCAAGCGATTGCTGCACGAGCTGCTGCGATTGGAAGACAAGAGTTTGCTCGTGAAGTTCTGTTCAGTGGCTGCCTGGAGAAGAAACAACTTCCCAGTCTCGGGCACTCTTCCACCTGGGATCAACTGTTCAATATCTAAGCGTCTCCTTCATACCACACAGAAGTATCGGGTTTCGCAGACACCTTGTGTCTTCAACCTAGCTAGCTAGCTCTTGTAACTTTGAGCATCTCAAAATAACTTCACCAAGAAATGACCGAAAACCTATAGAAAAACCTACTAAGTAGGGAAGAATGATCGTTCAATATCGTTGACCGCCTTCTGGCATATTGTTTCGACTGGGAGGTTGTTCGATTACTGTTACATGAAGTAGCGTTGACACGTTTCTGCTCCCTCCCACTCAAAGGTGATTGTTTGGCATCTCCTCCAGTACTGTCTGGTTGTCTTAACTGACTTGTTTCTTCTGGACCACTTTTGCATATTTCATGGTTTCTCCTACCAGTTCCACTTGGTCCGTATTGACGATTTTCGGCAGCTTGATGTTGCTCCAGACTTCCAACATGGGACATGCGGTAACTCCCACAAAGGGATTGTTATCCATGTAATGCCGTACCAATTTGTACCGCAAGGCCATTTCTTTCAAGTCTTCACCCTCTTTTCGGGGCAAGGTGGCAATGGTACACAGTGTAGCGGTAAGAGCTCCCTTCATACAATTCAAATCATAATCCCACCAAAATCCACTCTTGATAAATAACAAGGGCAGTGTCAAGTACCCCCAGGTGGTCAATTCTGAGTTGGCAATCAGGACAAAGGAGTGCGTCAAATCATGCAGCACTTGAAAGTCGAAGGTTTCTCCCACCATTCGACGGTATAGTTCCATCTTTATGTACTGGGCGTCCCCTACAATCTCGGTTTGGTTTTCCTCACGGGCCAAATTGTCAATGAATTGCGACAAGATCTTGACAAACTCTTTGCGCGGTTGTTGACTAATCGGTTGGACGCGAAACGTCATGATTTGAAACACTTGCACCAACTTGCCAATCCCATCCCCTTCCTTGTACCGTTTGTCACCCGTCAAACTGACTAGGACATAGCCTCCCAACAGTAATAAGGTTGCCAGAAACAGGGTAAGAAGAGAGAGTAATAGAGTGTTTTGGTCCATGGTTTTGGTAATTGCTTGGTGAGATGTTAGATGCACCGGGACTTCTGCATGGTCGAAGGTGACACTGCTATCGCTACTACGGTACTGGCTAGTACTGCTTGCGCCTTTCCATGGGTCGCAGGTGACTGCGGAACCGGAAGCCAGCGATAGTTGGGTAGCTGAGGCATTTATGGCGCTAACGTTACATATAATTAAAAAATTGGTTTTACCGCGTCTACCTAAATATATCCAAAGATTCTGCCCGAGAAGTTTCCGCAATCGCAAGTCACCAAGAGTTGCTTTGCGTAGCGCTCAGCGCTACAGTATGAAAATACAGTACTTTACCTTCTGAGATGGAAGGAAGAATTGTACTCACGGTACAGTACCGGTACAATACAGTAGGAATTAGAGTATTAGTCTTTCCGGGAATAAGAGAATTACTCGTGGTAATAATTACAAACGTACAGATCGCGAACTTAGCAGAAGAATGTTTCTTACGAGCTCCAATGAACATCGTTCTGGTTCACCGGTACTGAACATCCCGTACCACTTCCAGGTTCACTTAAACGCCCAAAGGTCACTTTCCAACAAGTTTACGGTATAGTTCATGTAGAAGCTATGTAGATTGACGTGGTGTAATTCATTCAATCTTCGTCCTTCGTTGCAAGTCGCAAGCTAACCCAAGCGGAGAATTCCAAGGCCTTTCTACTAGCTTTTGTAATTATTGGTGCGTACATGTACCGGTATCCTGACTCCAGATCCCACAAGCTCGCTCGGGTACCGGTAGAGTGTGAGCGAGTGGCAGTCACTGATGAAGAGACCTCTCCAGAGTCAGTTCATCTTGACGGCACCGCAGGACCGCAGCCGCCTCATTATTTCTCCGCAACGCCTCCTTGCATCGAAGTGTATGTGTGCTCCAACCAAGGCAAACGAGCAAATGAAGATCCCGAAGGATGCAAAGGTCCCATGTTGGGAACCGTACCTGCCAACCATTCCTGAGCGGGGTCTTTGCATCTGCTACTGCGTTACAGGAACTGTCTTGGGAACTATCTGGAGATGGCCTCATGATGCCTTGAGGTTAGTTGCCTTTGCATGGCCTTTGATTATCGCCATGCTCTTGGATCGTCTCTCGGTGCTTTCCTTGCCGGTGGACATCTCGAACCTCTGGTATGCATTGCTGGTGCTGCAGCTCATTCCCTCCGCGTTGAGAATCTGCAAAGGTATCTTCTATCCAGTATGTGCCGGATATGCTCTTGGCCATACTTGGCAGCAAAAGGTACGTGCATGTGTGTGTTGAAAGAACCTTCCGTGGGGTTTGAGCGCTACCCAAACGATGCAGCTTTGGTGCATGGGGAAAATTCGTATCGTCTTCTGTGCAGGAGAGAAACCAACTCAGAGCTTTGTTGTTTCTTTTTTGTAGCTGGCCTACATCCATTGCACTCTTCCGTGGTGGATCGCCAACAAGCTTTCAGATGCCTACGACAGCGGCGGCAATATCGGTATCTTGCTCCAAGTTTGCAGCAATGAAAGGATCCGTGAAGGGATCCAAGCGTACATGCAAGCTCGAACCCTTAATCCTGGTGATGTTCCAGCAGACGACCACTTAACGCAGATGAGTGACTACGGTGGTTCCTATGTCACGCAGCTCTACTTGTTTGGGAATCAGCACGTTCAAGAACACCTCGAGATGCACAAGATTGTTTCCTTTGTGGCACATATCCTGGATGACTTTGTGGACCGAAAAGAAGACAAGATCAATGGGCAATTCAACTACTTTAACGATCATCCAGTGGCTGTGGACAAGTCGATGGAGCATTGGATTGATCAGATGCAGTCGGCGCGAGACTACTTCGTCGAAAGGAACGACGTTGCCATGGTGCGGTTCATTGACGGCTCGTGCGCGGTAACGACACTGTTTCACCCAAACTTGTACCAATTGGTCTACAAGAATCCAGATTGCGACTTTGGGAATCCATTGGGACCACTGGCGTCACTCTTGGTCGATCGTTTTTCCAATTGAGTCGAGATAGTCCAACGAGGAAGCTTTCAAGGTATCTTTGGGTTCACTGGGCAATGCGTTTGACCGAGGCGAGAATGAGAAACCAGCTTGCCAACAACATGACCCTCAAGCTGTCCACTAGACGATGAACCTCTGCCCGGCTTCGGGAAAGACAGGAAAACGAACTGTTCATATACATGTTTTCTTGTGTATCTCCGGTTCAGAAGCTTCCCAATCGTGTATACATACATACTTCAGGTAGCACATGCTACGACGCTATTGGTAGACTAACTAATTTAGAATCTCCTCCACTGTATTGGAACCATTTCTTCCTAGCATAGTTTTCTTGGATTCAAATATTTGTAAGGAGCAAATTCAAAATCTCACTCAGGTTGTCCCCGCTACCTCTTTCCGTACAACTTGATATCCATGACCAGATCAGGTTGGTACGGTCTATTGGCATTGCAATAAATATTCTTGAACCGTTGAAAGTATTCGGCGGTTGTGCCTTGGTCGGTTGGTGGAATGGGTCCCACGCCCTTGCCTTGCTGACAATTTTCGTATTGCAATCCCGACAGCGGCTCCGCCAAGCTTTGATATCCCAATGAGGCTGGAATCACCACCCTCCGAATGCCGCCCGGTCGCATGGGTTCAATGCCATTGCCACCCGCAATGGCCAATTCAATGCCCTGAATGGTGGTGCCATCTCCCAATCGAAATCGATACGGAGCATCCGTATCTTTCGTACTGTAGATTTTCGAGCCATAACGAGCGCCGGTGGTGGACATGACATAATCAATGGTAACCGATGACCCCTTGTCGGTAACGGGTTGACCCGTGCCGACTTTGGCATCCGCGTAGGACAATCCAGAGGCTGTTTCGATAAACTTGAGATCGGGTGCTGGAGCCGATGCCGCCGTGGCAGAGTCTGGAAGAACAATAGTCGCCGCCGCAGCCGCAGCCATCAGGGATGGTACCTGTGTGGTCAGCCAAATGCGCCTGGTCGATGACGGTCGTTCTTGTATGGATACTAGACCCTCGACCAGAATAGGGTTTGCCACGGCGATGACAAGGGCAAGACAGGCAATTGCGACTTTTGCGGACATGTTTCCTACTTTGTTATCAAGAGATTAGGTTGGTCGTTGCTGCGAAAAGGAATTGTGAGAAGAAAATCGAGCGACCCTTCTACCTTGAGTGATTGGTGAGTAAGCAGTCGGCTGTTGTGTCATGGCGCTTGATGAGTAAGCAATGGGTGTCATCGTCCTCACAAAATAAACAAAAAAAACGGCCGAGCACGGGTGACGTACCCGTATCTTTTGGATCTTTTCTGAGAACGACATCGAATGAGATCGAGTGACAAGTCGAGCCGAACCCATCCTTGCCGGCTATGGTACCGGTACCTGGTACCGGTTCCTAGTACATCGTAGCTACATGTATGATACCAGGTAGCTAGACTAGTAACCGTAACAGGGTTCTTCATCAAGAAAGGCCATGGAGCAGAACCATTGGTACCTGTTGTAAGGGTGAGACAGCTTATGAGAACACAAAAAGCAGAGGAAATCGCATATGACCACCTTTTACAAGTTCCTTGCACCAATGGAGGAACTCAAAGCAGCAGTCATTCACTGTGGTCTCAGCAATGAGCAGACAGAGTTTGCCTCGGGAGGTTTCTTGAGTGTCGTCAAAAAGAGCGAAAAGTTGAAGAATAACAAGGGAAAACTCGAAAAGATCATGACCCTGGTGGGACCGGAAGGAGAAAAGGCGCTCAAGAACTACGAAAGCGTCGCGTTCAAAGCATCCCTACCAAAACCAAGTCCCATGATGTTATTGCCCAGGCCACCCATGGCACCACCAGGACCACCACCGCCGGTGGTGGCAAGCCTGTTGGCCAAGAGCATCAAGAAAATGACACGCAAGGACAAGGATGCCGGGAACACGGAAGAAGCCGTCAAACTGATGATGAAAAAGGGACTGGAGGAAGAAGCCATTTTGAATTTCATGGCCGTCTTTACAGTTTTTTTGGAAGACAAGGGTGAGCTGGAAGTGGCCGATGAAATTCTGGTGCTTCCGGTGGATTACAACAAATAGTCAACAATACGGTCTTTCGTGAAAAATAAAAGTGAGGAGATTGGGCACATACAGCCATCCATGTACTGGGCAAAGTTGCAATAATAAAGACATGGGAAGCGACAAAGGGATGACGCCTCTTTGCTCAAGCCTACATTGGAGTACCCAAACTTCCAATGTCTCGTTCAACAACAACCATTGCATCATACTACTGTCTGATCTTAGGATTGCAAATGACGCCCTTGAACAGTCTTTCCGTGCTGGAGATGAAATAGATGAAAATTTAATGAACAGCCCCCTGTTTCAACAAATCCACTGGTCAGGCTGGGACTACCGGTAGGGGATTGCGATACCATGTTTATAAACTTCAAAGAGGATGTATTGTTTGCATAGACAGCCAACACATGTACATGGCCTTCGAGCCGTGAACAATTGATTTGTCACCCTCACCCTGGCTCTGTACACGGTACCTCCGGGCATACCGGTACCGGTACCGGTACATGTAGTCGAGCCATATCTTTTTCTCGACAGAAGTCGCGGGAAGTACCGGTATCCACGACCCGATGTCTGCGGTGTACGTAGGCAACAGCTGCCGTTAAAGAGGCAAAGCAGGAATTATTCGGGTTAGAAAATGGCTTGGCAGCGCTTCCTGAACTCACCACAGATGACACATGAAAATTAACCGTTTGCCACAAAACCAAGACTTTATTCAACAAATTTTGCTCAGCAGCATGCGTCTAATTCCACAAAGAAGGACCGACAACAACCTTCTTCACAGTAAAGCAGAAGCAAGAAGAATGTCAAAATCAATGGAGGAATTGAATTCTTTGGCGGCCCACTGTGGTCTCGAAGAGAGTTCACAAGCCGAACTGGCAGTGGGTGGCTTCATTCGAGTGTTGAAGAAGAGTGAGAATTTTGACGATGCAGATGTGGACAAGATTGTGGCGTTTTTGGAGGCAGAGGAGTTTGTCCAGGAATATGAAAAGATTGAGTTCCGCAAAGGAATTCCAAAACCTAATCCCATCATCATCATGCTCCCAAAGCCAAAGCCTGGGCCGCCTCCGATCATGATAGCCAGTGCCGTGGCCAAGGGTCTCAAGCGCAAGTCTCGAAAAGACAAAGATGCCATGCATACAGAAGATTGTGTCAAAATACTCAAGTCCAAGAAAATGAAGGAGGAAGACATTGGGAAATTTATGTCCAGTTTCATTGTCTTCGTGGAATCCACGGTGGGTTTGGACACCAGCGAAGTGCTCTGCCTCCCCCAGAAGGACTAGCTACCGGTAGCACCTAAGGAACACGACAATGTTATTTTCACGGACAACCATATCCCGATACTTATTTGCGAAAAGATAAGGTGAATATCGATGCAATCGAATCAAAGAAGGTTCCTGGCAAAAATAACGTGGGCTAGTAACTTAGGCCATAGACGAGTCTGCACTGCGGCGCATGTAATTCAATACTGGGTAGCGTTTCTTGTCATTTAGTATGATACCGTATTATAAGTAAGCAAACAACGCTCTACGAATACTGGCACATGAACGCGGCTGCCTCCGAGACCCGTACAAGTCAGTGTCATACGGTTGTTGCTACCAGGTAGTGGTGGTGGTTCTTAGTGTTTGAGGCGAAGACACAGTTCCCCACAGAAGCAAAAACCTCCACTCGTACATGTACTCCAAAAAGACGTTTCCCACGGAGTGTTCACATGGAGGTCTGCCTATCCCTTGCATTTACGGTTGTATCAAGGCTGCTGGTGTGCGTAGAGTGCAGCCCGAATGCAGGATCCCAGAAAGTCTTCTGCGAGTAAGTGTGCCCAGGCCTCGGAAAGGTGAATCGCATCCAGTTTGGCTGGCTAATCGATGGCATGAAATTGTGTGACAAGAAAAGCACGCGTGCGTCTCCAAGGGATCCAAAGATCGAATGATGAATCATGAATCGAAACGGTCACAAATTCAAACTTTCCCAGTTCACCCTCAAGGAAGAAAAATCCGTGGCGACACTCGCAGCATCTATAGATGTCCAAAAGATATGTTGACGCTACCGGCACCCACATCACGCATCGGAAGAACCGAAGATCAGAGGCACAAGAGCCAACGTTTTGCTCCGATACAGATACCTGCTTCTGCATTCCTCATAAGTTTCGCTTCAACTCGAAGAAATGCCGAGAGTGTCTTCGGTGGATTCAAACTGGTGATTGTACCAAGGGGCGCGGTTCTGATTACCAGCACACGCGCTGCAGAGGTGTTGACAAGCCTTTGATTGATGGGCTTTGTGAGAAAAAAAGCAAATATGATGACTGTAACTGCAACCCAGCTTGGTACGACTACCGGTATCAGTGCTACCTCTGCGGTGAAATGATCCGCAAGGGCGATTGCATGAAGCGGTACGAAAAAAAGAACAGGCATACCGAATGCCCATCGCGACGGTTCCAGCAAACCGTAGACGATGGAGAAAAATTTACCGATACATTCGATGGGTTCGGCGTAAAACCCCAGGTTGGCGACGTTTGTATAAACCCAATGAGAGTAAACAGGATTTTGAAGATCTTGTCCATTGAGACATCCAGATCCGTTGCAGTTTGCTCTGTCTATGTTGCATTACAATACACTACCATTAAGAAAGCAGCCCATTCAATTCTGTACAAAAAGTATAATTATCAGTGGAGGTATGCCGAATTGCCAGGCAAAGCCGAATTCCCTCTTACCGAGTTGCAACCGACGCTTGATATTTCACCTGATGATCTTAGCACCGAATTGATTTGGGAGCCGCATGCCAAAGGACCTGATGGCCAATGGAAAGAGTTTTCATACTATTTGAGGAACACAAAAGCAAAGAAATTCTGTAGTCTTCGCAAACCAGTTGTGATGGATTTGTTTGCTGGGGGAGGTGGGATTGACTATGGTTTCCAGAAAGCTGGGCTGGACGTGCTATATAGTGTGGAAAAGGACAAGGCAGCAGTTGAGACCCTTAAACAAAACAACACAAACGCCAACAAGCATGTTTTGCAAGAAGATGTGAGGGTTGTGTTGGAGAGTATGCGCAAGGGAGAGAACAGAGAGGATGTCCCCAAACCAGGAGAAATTGACAACCTTCATGGATCTTCTCCCTGTCAAGGGCACTCATCCGCAAATCCACACCGACGCCAGAAGGAAATGGAAAATAACAGTCTCACTTTAGTCCCATTGGAGATCACAGAAATTCTGCGTCCAAAGGTTTTTACACTTGAGAACGTCATGGGTATCGTTCAAGGAGAGAGTCGTCACATGTTTGAGGAAGTCATTGCTACTCTCTTGGCTCTAGGCTACCAGGTCAGGGTTGCAGCACTAAACTCAAAAGACTATGGTGACCCACAGTCACGCCTTAGAGTGATCCTCCTTGCTGTTCAAAATGGCTATGAGTTGCCTCGGCCACCACCACCAACTCATGGGAGAGGAACAGGTAGAGCATACATGACCACGTTAGATGCCATTAGTGACCTTGAGGCAGTAGATCCTGAACCAGTGGACCCACATGCTACTGTGTCCAACCTTGAGTTGCCACTTCCAATGCACACGGTCATAGGACACCAACACCAATGGAGCGTTCCAAACTATTGTGTCGACGCCGAACAAAAGCTGGAGGCTGACAAGCCCGCTCCAACTATCCGTTGTAAGAAAGCGATTGGCCACTACTCTCTTGATCGCGTGCTAACACCATTGGAGAAGGCTCGACTCCAAGGATTTATTTATGATGACTATGTCTTCATGGGAAACTACATGGATCAATGCCAACAAATAGGAAATGCAGTACCAGTTAGTCTGGCAACCGCTCTTGGGAGATGGGTCAAAAGCTGCTTCAGCAGCGCGACACCCAACCCGTATCTCATAGCAGCCAATTCGGGCACGTGAATACTCCTGGGTTCCATCGTCAGCATTGCCCCTGGATCGTCTTGGCGTTTCAATGGTTAGAGGGAAACATCTATTTGGAAGGATGGGAGACTGCCTGGTTGACTTCGGTTGGCGTTTCCATTCCCAAGCTTCGGGTTTCGCACTCTGTTCTGCTGCACGAACAAGCTACAAGCTTGCGCAATCTCACGGCCGAGGCACGGGTGCAACATTTCCTGCACTATGTGTACCGGTACCACATGTAGCGGTACCAGTACATGTACTGGAGACATGCTGTCGGAACAAATAATTATTATCGGTCCCTTTGCACTATCCACCCTCACCCCGTAACCCCGCTGAGCATGACCGGTGACCTTTGTTCTGAGAAAGGTCATGCAGCGAATGGTTTCCCAAGGTTTGCATTCAACCCAATTTCTGCTTCACAAAGAGCAAATAGCTGCCGTCGAAGCCACAACCCGCCACTACCTCTTCACCATGTCGTCCAAGAGAGCTATAGATGCCCCGGCCACACCACCTCGAAAGAAGCCTAGTTTGACAAGATACTGCTCCGACATTGATACTTGCTTTTGTTTATCAAGCAAGTTCGACGGCGGGTCCTGTCGAAAGTGCTTTCAACCCCTCCGTAAATTTGATTGTTTGACGAAGAGCAGAACTGGCCGTGGATACTATCACACTGGATGCACTGTGCGTGAAGGTCACTGCAACGAGAACGATCTGCATGACGAATGTGGCTGCGACAGGGCTTGGTACGACCATCATCAGTGTATCGCCTGCAACGAGAAAATAAAGAAAGGGCAATGCATCAAGAAATACACAAAACCAAACAAACATACAAGGTGCCCGATGAAGCCAAGGAGGCTCAACTTTGACTCCTACAGCCCACAGAGTCAGGGTGGTGGTGGTATTAATAGTGCAAATCTCCTCGTTGGCGATCTTTGCATTAGTCCACAAAAACCCAACAGGATTTTGCAGATCATGGAGATATCCCAGGCCTCTGCTATTTGCAAAGTCTTTGTTGCATTGCAACACACCACCATCAAAGAAGCAACCAATACTGTACTGTTCAATGAAAGGTTTGGGTACCGGTACAAGTGGAAGTATGCTGAACTGCCGGAAAAGGCTGAATTTCCATTGAAGGAACTGCTGTCAGCAAAGAACACCGGTATTTCACATGATGACATCAGGACCAACTTGGTGTGGGAGCCACACATAAAAGGAAGTGATGGTGAATGGAAGGCTTTTTCCTACAAACTAAAGAATCAAACTGGAAAGAAGTTTGTCAGTCATCGCACGCCAATTGGGATGGATTTGTTTGCGGGGGCAGGGGGGACTGCGCTGGGTTTCCAGGAAGCTGGATTGGATATTAGGTGGTCTGTGGAGATGGATCGCCGGGCAGCTGAGACTCTCCGGCATAACTCAAATGACACAAAGCATGTGATAGTTGAAGAAGATGCAAAGATTGTCCTAAAAAGCATGCGTGAGGGAAAGAAAAAAGATGAGCTGCCTGCCCCTGAAGGTCTCGATACCCTTCATGCATCACCAAACTGCCAAGATTACTCTCTGGCAAATCCGTTCAGAGGCAGAAAGGTAGGGGACAGCAACAATACCACCCGACTATCCACTGAATATGCGGAATATGTCCTTCCAAAGGTCTTTACATTTGAGAATGTCATGGGCATCGTCCAGGGTGAAAGTCGCCATTTGTTCCAGGAAGTGGTGGCAAAACTGCTCGCTTTGGGCTATCAGGTCCGGGGCTCAGTGCTGAACGCTATGGATTATGGCGACCCTCAAAGTCGGAAGAGAGTTATCCTCATTGCTGTCCAGGATGGCTGTGAGCTTCCCAAGGCACCAGAACCAACCCACGGGGAAGGAACAGGTAGAGCTCATGTCACAACATTGGAGGCCATTGGAGACCTTGAGACACTTGATCCCGAACCAGTCAACCCGACTGATCCCGATGTTAGTTGCTCCAATCTGATGCACACGGTCGTTGGGCATCAGTTTCGGAGGGATCTCAAGGCCTTTGTTGTAGACCACAGACAACAAGTATTGCAATCCCACAAGCCTGCTCCAACGATTCTTTGTGGGAAAGCTGTTGGCCATTACAATTTAGATCGTGAAGCAACACCCCGGGAGAAAGCGCGACTTCAGGGCTTTCCCGACAACTATGTCTTTAAGGGATCCTACCTTGAGCAAATCAAACAGATTGGAAATGCTGTTCCCGTTGGAATGGCAACAGCGATTGGGAGAACGGTCATGAGCTGCTTTCTGATTACTACCAAATAGTTGCTTTGCAGATACATGTACCATAATTCGTAACTAGTAGCTATCATTGACGGTAGCGGTGCAAGAGTAGTCAACCGGTGCATGATTCGATTCGTACTATTGAAGTAACCCTGGATGTTTCTTGTTGCGTTCCACATATGGTTTCAGCATGTTCTGTATCTTTCTGGCAGTCGCCCTTCGTCGTGGATCCCTAACCCAGCAGAGCTCCATGGCATTTAGTAGCAGCTGAATGTTGTGGTCCTTACTGGTGCTGGTAGGTTCACTAGTTGGTGGGGTATGCCCCTTTGCGACGAGAGACATGGTCTGCGTAGTCGAAACATCATAGAACGGATACTGTCCTTCCACGATTGTGTAAAGAATATTCCCCAGAGCATAGATATCAATCTTCTCTGTCACCAAGTACGTGTTTTCATCGTACTCCTCGGGCGACCGTGTTTTCCCACCCTTCATGAGAGCCCTAAAGGAACAGGTTTGCTTTTCCTTGGAATCCCACTCCACAAATGGCGCTCCATTGAAGTCACTCAATTGAAATGTGTTCCCTCCATCCGTGCTGACATACTGAGTAATGTCCAAATCATCATGAGCCACCGAAGCGATCCCATCGTGATCAATATCATGCAAATCGGCCAATGCAGATACCACCTGATACGACACTTCCAGTTTGCGTTGGCTGGTCCACTGTTCCCATTTGTCGTGTGCATCATTGTGCTGATTGTTCATTTGTTCTTCCCGGTATTCCTTGGCCCCAATCGCATCGTAGAGTGTCCCGCTGTTGGCGTATTGGTAAATGGCACTGTTGCCACAGTAGCCGTATATATTGAGAATATGTGGCGATGCCGTCAATCGTTCGGATATGAGGGCATCCCTCCGATGCCGATCCAAATCTCCCGCATCAAAATCATGTTTCATGCGCAGCGTTTTGAGGACCGCCTGTTCCACCGGGATATCGGCTTCTGTGATTTGTTCCAACAACCAGACCGATCTCATGGAACCAGTTCCCATTAAGAAACGCTGTTGCACTCGGTGGTCGTACTCCAATAACTGACTCATCATATCAAAGGCATGTAGATTGCTGCATGTGGGGAAGGATTGGTTCATCCAGCCATGAGGCAATTGACAGGGATCCTTCTTTTTCGTCTCCTCGTCTGGATCTGGTCGAGTAGGATATTGGTAGGTGGACCAATCCACCATATCTGGAATTTCCAGCCCCATGAGATCTACCGAATGATGGTTCCAGTTCCATTTAATTCCCGTGGTGTTGATTGTGCTGCTGCTGCCTCGAAGAGCTGCCCAAATAGAAATGAACCTTTCCGAAGGGGGTATTATCTGGAATGTAGAGGGATGAATTCGAACCACCGGATGATACTTGGAAAATAGAATTTGCCTCGTCTTCATTCCGTTTGATTTTCGGGGTGCATCCGTTCCGCCTCCCACTACTAAGTCAATTCCGTACCCCACAACCAATGGCTTGACGCCAAAATTGGAAATACCCCTCTTTGGTTGTCGATTGATGATGGCAGCCAGAGCTGTGTTTCGTAGATTTGGGTTTCGGATCAGAACAGCCACAAAAGCAAATCCCACCAAAATCAAACCCAGTATCCGACGACGCCATTTTCTGCCTCGCGCCGCCACCTTGGTTCCTTTCTTGGAGAAACTGTTGGTTCGCTGGTACGTGCTTCGAAGATTATTAGTTGTACTCGATGAGGAGGAATGTTGGGGACGCCGCCTGCTACTAATGCTCTGCTGCTGCTGCTGTTGTTGTGGATCTCTCCGTTGGCAAGAATCATCATTGTGGGCTGCAGTGGTGGTGCCCATGATCCATAATGTTGGAGGACGGAAAATGAGAAATGAGGACAGCGACTCCCAACACGAGAAAATCAGCTCGGCACTTCTGGAGATTGAATCTATGGAATCATTCTTTTTGCATACTTTATCGAATTAAGGCTGCTTTAGAACCTAATGATCGACACCACTGGGTATAGAATAGCGCGGTACATTAGCAGCATTGGGACGGTCACTGCGCGGGGCTCAATGACCTCTTCCGTCTTTCTCGAAGACCCACCACGACCACGACTCCCTCGCGAGAGTACTATTAGTTTTGGGGACCATCGCTCTCGGAGCTACCTCTAGCAGTCGACTACCCACTCCGGATCACGACGACTGTCACACTCCGTACCGGTACCGTATGAGAGCATCAAGACGGGAAGGGGGCAGGAGTGCAAGACGAGAAGGGACGATAGCCAGATTCCGGGCGGAGCACTTCCTATCGTCAGAAGAAGGCAAAGAAGCAGATAATTCACTAGCTACTGGTACCAGTTGCCAAAACCATTACAGTTCTATTTGCTAGAGAATACAACTGCGCATGAGGAGGCGGTGGTTTCCTCTGAAGAAAGCCCAGCATCCGGCAGGTCACAAACAGCCCAGGGAGAACCCACGAGTGCTACGAGGAGGATCTGATAGCCCCCTTGTTGGTTCTTTCACTCCAGATCAAGGTACCGAGTCCCCAGCCCTCGATACGGCTGCTTCGAGTGGTTCCTTATTCTTGTCAAAGAAGTCCTCTCTGGCAAAAGTAAAGAACACACGGTCGTAATTCAGCTGCCAAATTGGATCGAGGTCTGGATAGATATTCCACATTAGTGAGCGAACGAATCCGGCACAACAACAACATCATGGACAGCGCGAAACGCCCACTTACCCGGGACATGTATTCCAGGGTTGCATTCTGATGTTCCTTCGCAGCACGAAGTGCAGCAGTCAAAGGCCGCAGCATCACACACATCACATGATGCCACAATTACCGGCTTGATGAGAAACAGTGGATTGGAACAGAAAAGAGCATCAAGGTCGCCTTGAATGTCGTCGTTGGCATCCAGAAATATAAGTTCTGAAGGCAATAAAATACATGAGAAGGCTATTGCACAAACAGTTGGGTTGTGACAGAACGAGGACCAGCACAACACTTACTCAGGTTCCTCAAGTCAGCAAAGGAGTCAGGGATCGTACTAGTAAGGTTGTTCCTGTTCAACAGCAACACATGGAGCTCACTCAGATTTCCTAGCTCAGAGGGAATGTTCCCTACAAGATTGTTGTTGTCCAGGTCCAAAAGGACAAGATAGGTCAAGTCACCCAGGAAGCTGGGAATAGTCCCAGTGCGTTGCGTTGACTTCAAAGAGAGTTCTTCCAAGAATGCAAGGCCTTCAATCCAGCCTGGAATACTGTTCGCCACAAAGTCATTTTCAGCCAAAAAGAGATAAGTCAAATCTGTCATGGCTCCAATTGTAGAAGGGATTTCACCAGTGAACTCGTTCTGGGAGAGATCCAGGTGCTTGAGGGCTCTCAAGTTAGAAATGGAAGATGGAATTGTCTGGCTGGAGAAGTTACACTTTTGCAGGGCCAAGAAAGTGAAGTTGTTGTGCACGGGGAACTGATCTGGAAGGGTGTCAAATTCATTGTCATGTAGGTCCAAAACCTTTAGCTGAGGCAATTCAAAGAGATGAACATCGACGGTGCCATTGAAATAATTGTCCGAGATATCCAAGTATTCCAACTTTGTCAAGTTCTTCATGAAGTTGGGGCCTAAAGCACCGGTGAATTGATTGTTTTCAATGTAGAACTGTTCCAGATTGCGCAACCCATTGATCATGGACGTATCGAAGGCATCTTGAATACCGCCATCAAAAAGATTGTTGTCGATTGCAATCCCTATAATGCTCTCCATAGTGCCAATGGAAGAGGGCAACATTCCAGTGAAGTAATTATGAGACAAGTTGATGTTTTCCAATTGTCCAAGGTCCACCAGCCAAGCTGGAAAAGAGCCTACAAGCCTGTTGCTGCTAGCATAAAAGTTGGTCAAACCGGTGAGCTGTCCGTACGATTCTGGAATGGAACCACTGAGCATGTTGAAGTCCACGTCAATGTCTGTCAAGGAGGTAATAAAACTAATTTCAGCTGGAAGGGAGCCTTCCATATTTTGTCGTTCTGTTGACGTTTGAAAAGAAAGTGTTAGACCACAGCAACATTGCTAAAAGATTACACACAGGTATTGTACGCTCACCGAGAAGCAGAGAAAGAGGTTCGCCTTCACCCCGTTCACAATAGACACCCCTAAATTCTGAACTTTCGTCTGGATATTGCAACTCTGAATACCAGTAGCAGACAGATAAGGGACGCAAGAAATTCAGAGTGTAGACCCATCTATCCCCCATTGTTGAGTAGTAGAGTACGGTGAGGGCGTATCGAGTAACAAATTCATATCCTTCAGGCGTATCAAGATCTCCATCAGGGACACTCAAGTTCAATCCATCATCTACAGCAATAAACTGCAGAGCTCTCGATTGAGGAGAATCGTCATCGATGAAATCCTCCGCATTAGATACACCATGAACGACCAAGTATGTCATATATTCACCCAAGGAATCCATATCCAGAGGATCAGCAGATGGATCCCATTTGCAGCCACGGGTCACAGAGCAGTGTATGGCATTGTCAAAATCAGAACAGTCCATTGCTGTTCCAACACAGGAGATCTCATAGTCACAGTCAGTGCCAGTACATCCAAGGAAGTCTCTATTACACAAACAAGGAGAGTCATAACCGTCCACATTGACTCTCTCGCAAACGGTCTCGCAAGTCCCGGTGGCAGAAACGCACGATTCATCATTGGAACCTATTTCGGTGCAGGTAACTGGGCTGGACACTGTTTCACAGGGTTGTGCATCTCCGGTACATGCAGCCCCAGAGACCATCGGGGTCAGACCCAAGAGCAACACAGCGGTCAGTCTCATCTTCTTCGATGCTTTCTTACAAAAGGACCCAAAGAGGTAAAAGTTATGCTGCGGTGATGCAGGTGCTTTATCAAAAATGAGCTGCAAACTTTGAAGGCAAAAGATCGTCGAGGTGACACCCAGTCTTGGATATCGACGAAGTTATCTAGCTAGGCTGGAATGCATCAACTATGGCGAGGGGCTGGTATCCGTTGGCTGTTGGAGACACACGAGCACGGGCTGAGGAGAAGAGAGGATAGCAAGAATGCAAAGGCAAAGGCGAGCTAGTGTTAAGAGTAGCTAGCTAGTAGATAGACTGCATTTACATTAGTTCCTACCGTATCAGCTGTCTCTCCAAGATCCCCAAAGTGAACTGGATGCGCTTCTAAAATAAATACAACGGACAGGTAGCGGTTGACTTCCATGAGGCTCCTCTAGCTCGCTAGCCTAAACAAAGCAACCTCCCCGCAGCGAGCAGACTTGGGGCAAGAAGGCCTCTCATCTACGATCCCAGAAGGAGTCCCTCAGGCTCCGGCTGGCTTCAGTAGATAATCTACCTACTCTAACCCACGTGAGATTGTCTTCTGGGGGATCTTGCAATCTCGGTCTCCTTCCATACGGCAGCATGCCACGTTCACACCAGGGAATCAGATTGGAAGTTGCCTCTTGAACTGCAGGCCCCAATCATTCGGATATAAGCGTATACTGTAACTGTACGGTAGCACATGTAGGACCGCAGATACAGAAGACAGAATCAACACCACCCCTTTGGTCACAGAGGGGAGAGGTGGGCCTTGCTAGCTTGACCCGCATGGGGACAAAAGAGATTGGAGCTTGTAGCTGCTAAATGGAATTTTTTGGCGCAGTATATTTTCAAAGTTGCACCCATCGCAACGGCATGACAATCGAGGAAGCACTGGGGGCCACTATGGCACCTAAACAGCAACCACATCCTTTTCACTCGGGCCGTGAGGACGATGGAATCAAAATGGGCATTTGTCGGAGATAGTAGTAGACTAATGACAGGTGATGTAGCTCGGAGGTTTGATGGCACCACTGCTCCACGAGTACTTGCAGAAAATCCTCCAACAGAGCCCGACAAGAGGGCTCCAGGGAAAACCGATAGAACATTTCCGTCCTGTTGACCATGAGATAAAAGCGAATGACTTCATCGTGTCCGCACAGCGGAATGCACAGATTTTTCAATGTCCGGTTGTTGGCGACACACTTGTGAAAGGATTTGGCATTCAAAACTGGTAATAAGGTGCCATTTTCTTCGTCCGCATTTGTGGTATCGTCATGGAAGAGAATACCCAAGACTTTGAGCTTGGTATTGTTGCACAAGGAGGAACTGATCTCGTCGTGAAACTTTTGAGTGGCGCGAAGCTTTCGCTTCTTTCGAGATTGACCATTGCCGACCTGTAAAACCACATTCTGTGGTTGGGGTACATGTGGAAAACGAGGCACTGGTGGCTGTTTGAAGTGTAGCTTGATCCAAAGTGATTCCAGAGTGGATGATTCTGGTTTGAGAAGTTTGGCGAATGCCTGTCCCATGGCAGGTACCACCCGAAGGGCCGACTCTTCAAGCTTGAGGTTTAGTTCCAGCTGCTCCAGTTTGCGGCATTGTTTCAATGCCGTCTTCTGGGTAAAATCATTGACGTAGATACCTTCCAGCTTGAGGACTCTCAACCTTGGACATCCAGTGGCAATGTCATCCAGTTTGGAGCTAATCGTATCGTCATTCAAATTGTCTTTATCGGAAACCTTTACAATCATGACTTGCAAAGTGGATATGGAGGCCAAGGAGGTCAAAATTGGGTCAAACCCATCCATAGAGACAGGGTCGAAACAACATCCTCGCCATTCAAATTTCTCCAAACTGGGATGGTCCTTCAAGGCCCTGGCAATTACATTTGAGATGTCATCTTCTGCTTCCACGGCATTGTTCTGATCTGCACAAAACTTGATTTTTTCCAATGACATTGCCTTCAAGTGGGGTATCTGGTCCACAAAAGCCTCGAGTGCACGAACCGGAAAGCAAGCCCTTTCTGCCTCGAAATGCCATCCTGGGCTGAGCAGCCCCAAGTTCAATGACTCCAACTGGGGCAAAGAGACACAAAGATAGCCGCAGAAACCAATGACTTTTTCTTGCAAGCCCACCCAATCATCTCCTCTTGGCATCAATAGGGTCAATGCCTTGGTCTGAAGAAGTAATTCAAGATTCTCCTCCATGGCCTTGTGGACTTCAGCAATGTTGTAGATGCCGAGGGGTAGCTGGATCCGCAAGTGCTCCAATCTCTGGCTGAACTCCATGCAGTCCGTTGCCCATGCTTCAGAGTTAAAGGATGTATCGTACGTGAACATGGTGGGCCACTAAAGGACGAGAGCGTCGAAAACTGTTCTACAATCGACAATTTATGACCTCTCAACGTCTTGACTCCAAGCTGCCGGAATCGGTGCCATCATTCAGCTGATGGAGCGAGTTTGTGGCTCCAGGGCCGAGCAGCCTTGGCAACTCGTCTCCAGCATTGGAGTTTTCTCCAATAGAATGCAGCGTTGAATGACATCACATTGTTCGAATCTGGTGATGCCTCCAATTGATGGCAAAGGGCGAAAAGTCCAAAGGAATTTCTTCTGTGGCAGCCGAACTTCACACCACTCACGCACCGAAGAATTCTCGTCATGGTCTTCGGCAAATGACGTGTGATTTTTAGTCGCTTGAGAGGCAACAGTGCTTGTGGTACCAGGTACCACCGGTACAGAAAACCTGTACCGGTACAGAACCTGTACGTAGCCATCCAGGCGCGTGCTGTGAAGCTTAAAACACCTCCCTTTCCAATAAATATGTTCCGTTGACAACACTTGCAACTTCAGATCAACGTTTGGGGCTCACTGTAAACACGTCTTGACATCCCGATGACCTGGCAGAACCTTGGTTGTAGGAGGATCTATCTAATGTCAGGCTAGCTAGCTGTCCCGGCTGCTTTGACCATTGGAAACTCAAGCGTCAGTGAATAGATTACATTAGATTCTCTCATAGTTTACGGTTGGCTTGCTAGCCGGTATATCGGATTAGTCGTCTAATCCCAAAGCTTCTATGACAAGTTTCTCCAGGTAATCAGGGTCGCCTCCAGACCACCAATCGTCTGCGCTGGACGGCATTTTCCACCAGTCCAGACCATCATCATCGTCAGGCTCGGCAGCAGTTTCTTTATTGGTGGCTTCCACGGGGGGCTTCTTCGGTTCATTCGCTGTTGGCGTTTGCAGTTTTACTTCAGTCTTGGTGCTTGGAGTTGATGGGACCACGCGGTTGGGTGTATCCACTTTGAAAGGCTTGGCCTTGGCATTTGCGTCAACCGATTCGGACTCGGTTTTCCGCTGCGCGCTTTGGGGTGGTGGAGGAGGTCCCGACTTCGATCTCGCTCTGGCTAACCAGTCTGGGACGCCGTTGTTCGACGTCGCGCTCGCCGAAGGGGGTGAATCCTTGCTGTCGTAAGGTGACGGTGGTGACGATGACTCCTTCCGCGTGCCAGATGAAGAGTCCTTGGATGGAATATGCGCGTTAGGGGGTGGGCCCGACTTCGACCGCGCTCTGGCTAACCATTCTGGGACATCGCCCGAAGAAGGGGGTGCATTTTTGCTTTCGTTGGGTGACTCGTTCGCCTCCCCAGAACTGCCACCTGTCTCAGCTGAGGGTGCTCCGTCGGCTTTCGTGCCCCATCGAGTTGCCGTCTTTGCCTGTGACGCTTGCCCCTGAAGTTGTCGGTTGGAAGGAGTCGAGAGTGGATTGTACGCACTAGTTTTCCACTTCCGTTCTTTTGGTTTGACGTGCTTTTTCGGGTTCGGCGCGTAGGATGAAAGTGGCACGTAAGCACTTTTTTTCCACTTTCTTGGGGCGGGTTTGTCTTCGTCTTCGTCCTCTTCCTTCTTTTCCTCTTTGCCGCAAAGTACTCCCGCGGACTGCATTGCTTTCCACTGGGCGAGGATGTCATGGACAGGTGGCTTGGGCTCCTCCTCTTGCACTTCTTCGCTTGCCTTCTCTTCCTTGGCGTCTTCTTTAGGCTCCAGCGCCCCGGCAGTCTGCATCGTCTTCCACTGCTCGACGGTGTCACTGATCGATTGCTTAGATAGCTCCACTTCTTCCTTCGAAACGGAACTGGTAGCATTGCTCGGTGGTTCCTCATCTTTGCCTGTATTATTTTCAAGAACATTCGAAGACTTTTTGCCATCACCAAAGCTGCTATCACTTGAAACGCTGCTGTCCGAATCAGAATCATCCAAAAATGATTTCTTTTTGCTGCTGTCGCTGGAGTCACTACTGTCGCTGTCCGAATCGTCCAAGAAAGATTTCTTCTTCTTTGCACTTGACGCTTGAGATGGCTTCTTCATCATGTCCCAGATAGAAGTGCCACCTTCCGGCGACGGCTCCTTTGGTGGCGAAGACGACGATGATGAATCCGAATGGGATTTGACCCCATCATTGAATGTCTCAGGCGACGTTGTCTTCTTCATCTCCGTGCTGCTCATTGCAACATCATCACTGTTATCAACATCTGAACTTGATGCTGGAGATGGCTTCTTCATCATGTCCCAGATAGAAGTGCCACCTTCCGGCAACGACTCCTTTGGTGATGTTGAAGATGACGATGAGGACTCTGACTGGGATATGACTTCATCATTCAAAATCTCAGGCGATGTTGTCTTCTTCATCTCCGCGCTGCTCGCCACAACATCATCACTGTTATCTACATCCGAACTTGATGGTGCAGACGTCTTCTTCATCATGTCCCAGATAGATGTGGCCTCTTCTGTTGGCACTTCCTTTGGTGATGTTGAAGATGACGATGAGGACTCTGACTGGGATACGACTTCATCATTGGAGATCTCAGCATTAGGTGATGCTGCCTTGTTCAGTTTTGTGCTGATTTCTTGTTCATCATCACAGTTATCTACATCCGAACTTGATGGTGAAGATGGCTTCTTCATCATGTCCCAGATAGATGTAGCCTCTTCTGTCGGCGATTCCTTTGGCGCTGAAGACGACGATGATGAATCCGAATGAGACTTGACCTCATCGTTGAACGCCTCAGGTGATGTTGTCTTTTTCATCTCGGCGCTGCTGGCATCACCAACATCACCATCAGTGTCATCGTTTTTCGGTGGGCCATCACAAGAGCTGTCGCCAATCTTGATAGTGATCGACTCGAAGGGTGGTTTTGTGGGCTCACTCTTTGGCTCGGCCTTCGTCTCGGCATGCTTCTTTTCGTTCGTTGAAGTTCCATTGATGTTCTCTGGTTCTTCCTTCCTGCTCGTATTCTCGGATTGTTGTGATAACTCCTCGGAGCTCGGAGCCTTGGACGAATCTCTGTCAGGACTTTGCTTGGAAGTTCCAGAGCTCCCAGTGCTGCCTGAACCAGTTCCACCGTCATCCTCCTCCTCCTCAAGAGCGTCAATCGATTCTTTTTTTGCCGCCATTACCTCTAGTAACCGGGCTTCATTGTATTGTTGGAGAGCAACCACACGGTCTGAGGCAGTTTCTAGTTGCTTCTTCAAGGCGGTCACACTTTCCTTTAGACTTGCATTTTCCAAAGAGAGTTGATTGTTCTTTGCCATCTCAACGTCATCCACCTTTCTTGACATGGATGTGGACGCCTCCTTGGCATCTGCCAATTCTGCTTCCAATTTCTCGATGATGGCCCTGTCGCAATCCTTCTCTTGTCTGATAGTAGCCACGTTGTCTGCTGCATCCTTCAGTTGCTGCTTCAAAGTCGACACGAGCTTTTTGAGACGGACGTTCTCGGAAAACAGTTGCCTCTTCTCATCCAAGACAGTCTTCTTGGAATCCCTAGCATCAATCAACTGTTTTGAGAGCGACCTAGTTTCTTCTCTAGCTTCAACTAGATGTGCTGTCATTTTCTTCATTGCAGCTCTGTCATTCTCCCTCTCACAACTGTCGGATCTTAGCTTTTCATCTTGTTCAGCCCTGGATCTCTTCAATGCTTCGATTTCCTCCCTGGCTTGCCTTAGCTGTTCTTCCAGGTTGGACACAGTAACCTTGAGATCAGTCTTTTCTTTCACCAATTCCACCTTCTCATCAAGAATGGTCAAGTTGGTATCTTCCAGCGTAAACATATTCTTGGCCATAGACTCACACTTTGCTCGGATTGCCATAAGCTTCGCCTCTGCTTTCCGCCTCGAGGACATGGTCATGTCACCAAGACTAGACAAGCTGGCATTATTCCGGCCATCACACAAATGAGACCTTTCATCATTGGCCTGAGGAGCATCGTCAATCAGTTTCTTGTCGGCGCATTCGGCTTTGCCATCACTTGGGCCAGTGGCAATATCTGGATTACCACCTGGTACCAGTAGGGATGTTGACAGGGACTCTCCAGAAGATGGTTCCATTCCCTTGCCATGGGCTGGTGTCTCAGCTTTCGCATCTGTGGTGCCGGTGTCTGCGTGGTCCAGTTCCATGGCTGCTCTCGATTTCCCATTGCCCCGTTCTGTGTCTGAATGGCCAATGCTACTTGGCCCATCTGAATTCTCAGTCTTATTCTCTGCTTCGGTGTCCCCAGATGGATCAACGTCGTTTGCGCCCAGAGACTTCTCCCGAAACTTCTCAGCTTCCTTGTCCGGAGGCGCGGTGTTATTTGACTCCTTCGACTTCTCAGCTACTTTCTCTCCTTGGGTGGACAGAGGGAAGATGTCCGTGATACCTTTTGGTTGCTCACATTTCTTCTCTGTCGCGGTATCATAAGAAGGGCCACTGGCGCTTGTCTCTTCAGACTTCTCACCTACTTGCTCCACTTCTATGGCCAAAGGGGGGATTTCAGTGAAATTCGCTGACTGCCCTGATTTTTTCTCTGATGGAGTGTCAGACGGGCCACTGTCCGTGGTTACTATTGATTTCTCAGAAGAAATCTTCTCTCGCTGAATGTCGCAAGGGCCAATGTCAGATTCCTCTGCTGATTGATTCTCTGTTACATCGACTGGTCCTGCTGTTTGTTGCTCTGCTTTATGTGCTTGGGTATCGGGCATACCAACATTAGCCGCAAGTGATGATTCGTCGGCTTCCTCTGTTTTCTCCTTCGTTAACGCATTAAAGGCGTTTCCCGATTGTTTCTCTGCTTGTGTGTCTGGCTGGCCCATGAAAGGGGCATCTCCTGCTGCTGATTCCTCAGGTGCTTCCTCTTCTTCATCAGACCCATTACTGGAAAGGCTTCCCGCACAGTCATTAGCCTCATCCATGTCGCCACTACCCATGCATGAACTCTTGTGCTCCTGCCAGTGCCATTGTTGGCACTCGTTTGAGCAGTACTTTACTTTGTTGCAGTCACAGATCAGCATCTCTTGAGGCACAAATTCTGTTTCCATGCCGCAGGCTGCGCATGCGTCAATCGCTTCTGCAGGTGCTATGCTTGAAGCTGCGCTCGAAGCGTCACTCGAAGATGCACATGAAACAGAGAATACGCTTTGACTGGTATCACCATCGTCCGAGTCCGGCACCAGAGACGATGTCGAAGCTCGGCCCTTTCCAGGAGAGCCAGTGTCAGCGCGTAATTTTTCAGCTTTCTTCTCTGTTTCAGCGCCAGAACCTGAACGCGAGGATGACTCTGATTCACCCTCTGAGTCTGTGGCGACCACATCTGGAGGCGAGCTACTGCCTGCATGTTTCAATGCCGTCTGCGATTTCACATCCGAGACCGCGCCGTCAGATCCTATCGACTTTGCTGCTGCATCGGTGGAGTTCGGTGCTTTCTCTTTCATCTCTTGCTGTGCGGCATTTGAATCTTGCGAATTCGAGTCCGTATCACTGGATTCAGCTGTGGCTTCGACGCCCCTAGTTCGAGAGTCAGCGATACTACGTTGAGAGTTTCCCAAAGCAGTCAGGTCTGATTCATCCTTTTCTTCCGTTCCTGTAACATCATTAGGGGTGGAACTTCTTTCCAGACTGACAGGAGCCAACTTTGCTTTTTGAGGCCCGGACTCGCCTTGGGATTGATCAGGAAGAGCTTCTGGGGTCTCGGAAGTTGTTGCTGTCACAGGTCCGCTGAAATTTGCTGGGCTGTTCGCTTTGAAATCCTTCCATTTTGATTCTGTGGCGGGAGCTTTTGTAATTGTTTCTTTGTGCATTTGACCCTTTCTTTGTTCGGTGTCGACTCTCTGGTTGACATCTGCTATCAGGCTGGAAATGTTGACATCTTTTGGAGGTGGCCACATTGGAGGCGGTTTGGAAGTTGACGCAAAAGCTGGGCTAGGTGACTCTTCGGAACTAGGGGCGAACATGCTGATTTTGGACCTGAAACTCATCCGTTCTCTTCCCGTTTTATTGAGAATCGGTGCGTTCAATGGTTTCGGGTTTTGGCTGTCGTCATCGGTGACAGCATCAGACTTGCCCGTGGTAACCTCTTCGGGTAAACGTATCGGTGCGGTACTGGAACTTTGTGTTGCGTCATTCTCTGGGTCGACATTTGTGCCATTGCCGTTGTTGGCCTCGACGTCCACCCAGTCGGGTCCTTTTGGTTGTTCTTCATCGTCTGCACTGAAATCTGGAGCGCTGGTGTCAATGCTTTCAAGCCTTTTTGCGTTTTTGGCAACTAGACCAACAACGTCTGGTGGCACCCAAACATTCGACTCTGCGTTGTCGTCGTCCCTTGGGGTGTCCTTGCTGCGCCGTTGTTCTTCCACCTCGCCCTTATTCAGCCCGTTGTCATCTGCTGCGTCGAGGGCAGGAGCTGAGGTCGTCGGATCGACTTCCAACCCATGCCATCCAACGTCCCCCGGGGCAGCTGCCAAAGCTTTGGCGTGATCAGCGTATTCGGTCTTGTCTTTTGGTCTGGTTGGCGTTTGGCTGTCTCTGTTCTCTGTTGATTGTTCCTCGTCACGGGATGGCTCCGATTTCGACGAAGACGATGATTTATCTGCCATTGGCATATTTTTCTCTGATTCATCTGCCGTTTGCAAATGTTTCTCTGATGTTTCGTCGTCCTCGTCTTCGGATGGCGACGAGGATGCTCTGGACGATTGATCAGATTCAGCCTTTTCCAAGTCGTCAACCGGATTTTTGCGTTCACACGGTTTCGTTCCACCCTCGACCTGGCCAGATATTTCGTCACGGTCATCCTCAGAAGTCGACGATGTTGACGAGTCATCGCCAGCAGACTGGGCAGGTTTAGGTGCGTTAGTATCAGGCTCCTTCTCTTCTTCAGACGCAGAGTCCTCTGACGAAGATGAATCAGACTCTTCCCTATCTTGAGATGCAGCATCCTTTGTTGTCGTTGCTTTCGCTACTTTGTCTGTCGTAGTGCTGTCATCCTCTTCTTCTTCTGATGACGAATCGTCTGTTGCTCTCGCGATAGGCTGAGACAACTTTGCTGGAGACGATCCTTTTCCCCGAGTCTGCCCTCCCTCTTCTTCTTCAGAGCCCGAGTCTGAATCGTATGCTTTCTCTTGTGGTTTCTTTGCAGACGCTGTGCTTTCTTCATCTTCCTCTTCTGACGATGACGAGTCGTCTCTTATTTGCTTTTTCGTTTTGTCTGCAGCAAAGCCAAACCATTGGGGCTCTTGTACTTCCTCTTCTTCAGAGGAAGAATGTGAATCGGATACTTTTGTCTGAGCAGCTAATGTTTTTGCGTTTGCCTTTTTGGAAGTTTGCTTGTTGTCGTTTTCTTCATCTGACGACGACGACGACGACGATGATGAGTCATCTCTAGTGGGTTTTGCCACTTGTGACGCTTTGGCAGACACTTTTCCCCGAGTCTTTTCCCCTTTATTTTCTTCTTCATCCGAGGACTCTTCTTCCTCGGATGATGATGAATCTGATGTTTCCCCGTCCCCCCCACTGGACGAAACCGCTTTTGTCCGAGCCGCCTTTCGTGCTTGTGCCAATTTGCTGGGTTTTGGCTTTTCGGACGACCATTCACTGTCACTTTCCTCATCCTCCTTGTTGTCGTTTTCGTCATCACTACTACTACTACTAATACTCGAATTGTCGCTGTCCGTCACGTCACTTCGCGATGGCATGCGAGGCCCTCGATCCTTGAAGGCGCGTGCCACGGCACTGCGAGGAGGCGACCGTGCTCCCAAATGTGGCATTTTCCGTCGCGACGGAATGGCCCTGGTCGTGTTGGTCCCACCCCGCGCCGGAGATCGGGGTGGTAACCGTTTGGGCAGCGGTGTTTGAAAGGGCGAAGCATCAATGTCCTCGTTGTTGTCGCCTTGACTGCTGCTCGTGTCGGATCCACGACGGTTACCACTCGATAAAGATCCTCGGCGCAACCGTTTTCGTTGTTTTTGCATAGTTTTGAGAAAGGATCCCTGATTGTTGACGACGTGTCGTTCGAGTGTTTCATCTTCTTCACTGTCACTGCTGCTCTCTTCTTCGGACGATTCTTCTTCACTGCTGCTGCTCTGGGATTGCAGTTCGGTGCTCGTGTCCGAGAATTCACTGCCACTACTGGATTCTTCGTCATCGTCTTGATCGTTGTTGTTGGCATACTTGTCTTCTTTTTTACTCTCTTGTATCAGCGGCATGGACTTGCGTTTTTGCTTGGCGCGTTTCTTTTTCGACAAGGGATGTCCTTGCTGTTGTGCATCGTTGAGTTGATTGCAGATACTTTGGAATCCACGTGCTTGCGGCGATGGCGTGGTGACAGTAGGACGCAGTCGTTTGCGACGGTAATAGTGTCGAAATCGTTTGGGATTGGGTTTTTGGACTTGTCCTCCCACGACCATGTTCTTGCGTTTGGCCGCCTTTTCGTCGGAAGCCTTTTTGATTTGGGGTCCATGACGAAGAACAAACTTGGCAAAGGGACAAAAGGGTGCCTTGCATTTCGGATCTTTGCATTTGACAATGTGCTGGAGCATGGTCTTGGCAGCCTTGCATTGCTTGTTGGCACAATCGCTGGGCGAAACCTGGCAATTGGCCGCATGAGTCAAGAGAGTCAGTGTCTTTTGTTTCGTTTCCAGTTTGGGGTCGTTGAAGGGATCATACTTGGCCGGTTGATTCTTATTAGTGGCGTCGGAAGTGGGAGGAGGAGACAAGGACCGGGAAGCCACGCCGGTCGCCATGGTTTGTGCTGTACTCACTCGTTCTCGGGAAAATCCAGAATGGAATATCTGTTGCCTCTTGAGAGCGCACAAACGAGGATTCGTCTCACTGCAAAAGCAGACTACGCTGAGCCATCATCATATCATATCATATCATCAGAAGAGCAGCCCATTTCGAAACAATAGTATAGGTGGGGTTGGGGGTCGATTGCAATGGCTTCTGTTGGTTGTAGTCCTTCTAAAATAGTGGTGTCGAGGTAACAGACAAAAGAGTGAGTGTTCTCGAAGGTCCCAGGCAGTGTCTTGATGAGAGTTCATGAATTCAAGAACCGCTTCCAAAGCTTGCTTGGTACAATAGAGATCAGGTTAATTCTCGGAGTTGATGCCAGCGCACCGTTCGGAGCTCCCGCGACTTGGGACATGGACAAAGTTGGGGAGGTTTCTATGCCATCCTCTCTTGAAAGAGGCGACTTCTTAGCCAAATCAGGCCAGAGGATGACATGATAACCAGAGCCACTAGGGTACGTACCGGTGGTTTGTACCGGCACCAAGAAGGCCGTGTATGATAGCTACTAATTGCGCTCTAGTAGAGCTTGGCGTTGACTGTGTGAAGCATCCTTCCAGGTTGTCCTCGCTCCAAGTCCCGGTTGACTGTCCTTCCAGGGGGCTTCAGGCTTCAGCCACCCCCCTCCAGTCAGACAAACAAATCTTTTATCATCTTTATTTAGAATGGCTTCCAAAGACCGAGCCGAGATGCATCACTCCTCGAAACCTCCTGGTTCTTGCTTCTACAGGCATCGCAACGCAGCACCCAGAGCTCATCATTGCCCCTCGCTCGTCTGGACTCCACAATACCACAGCGACGGCATGCAACGACGCATGGTGTGCGTAGACACTCCAACAGCCGCACTCCACCCAATAGGTTTATCCCACACGGAGCTGTCACCTAGCTAAATCTGCTTTGCGGTACAGCGCCAGGCAACCGTAGCGGTCATATTCACAAGCAAGCTACTACTACTAGTAGCTAGGTCCAGCCAGCTGCCTTTGCTGGATGGATGTTTGGGTCTGGCGAGTCTCAGTCTTGTGTCAGGAGTGCTCGGATGATCGTTGTTTTGCACGTCTTGTTTCCTGTTCCGTGCAGTTCCTGAGTCGTCCATGAGTCTTGTACGAGCAAAATCTTAGCAAAAAGGAGTTAGTACACCTTCACTCTACTCTGTGAGTAGAGTACAACTAGAGTGATAAGTAGTCGAAAGCGATACCGGGATTCTGCTAAGTAACTTTGGATGGCACGTGCGGTGCTCAAGGGGTCATTTTTGTTCTATCTTCGGCGTCGAGGCATTTCGCATTGTTTGTTTCTTCTTGGCCCTCGAAGAAGGGAGGGACAAAAAGATCGTCTTGTGGTAGGGTACTCGTAAGATGTCAGACGATGGCAGTGGCGGCGGAGGCGGTGGAGTCAAGAATGCATGTCTTGGTGTGGTGATTGGCTGGTTACTGTTCTTCGGAAGCATTGTGGTGATGTTCTGGAATGAGGGACGTACTGTGAAGAGAGCAAATGACATTGATGAGGCTGAGGAACGGTACGTTTCCTTAAAGCTGAGTGACATAATTGAGGCTGATAGAAATAGTACTAGCTCTGTGGAAGATGCCAGGTTTGCCTTGTCGCAGTACGCCAACAAGTTGGTTCACATCACTGGAGACATCAGTACCAGTGTGATCATCCAAGATCCTCTCTTTGGAATCAATGGGAAGATTGCAGAAGACGAAAACGCACTCAAGCTGCGCCGCGAGGTGGAAATGTACCAATGGAAAGAAGACAGGCACACTGAAGGCAGCAAGAAAAACAAGAAGACCGTCTACACCTATGAAAAAGTGTGGTCTGATGAGCACTACGATTCTTCGTATTTCCATGAGTCTGGACATGACAATCCGGCCTTTCCATTTAGGGAGGCCACGTTCACAGCCAACCCCATCTTGATGGATGATACCGTGGCATTGGGAGAGCCTGTATGTGTGCACCAATATTGACTTCATTTTTTCAATTCTGTCGTTCTAACACCTCTTTCCCCGTTCTCCCGATATTTTCTTTCGTAGGCAGTGGATCTCATCAACTGGTTTATCCCGTGGAGGTACCCTGTCAACTTGACTACAATCACAGATGAAATGAGTGCTCAGAAGAAAGAACATCTGGAAGTCAGCGATTCGGGACAATCCTTCTACTATCATTACACCGTTACCACATCTACCAGCAACAATACACGTACAAGCAGCCCCGAGGTTGGAGACACCATCATCGGCTTCAAGGTTGTCTATCCTACAAAAATAAGTATCATTGCTTATTATGATGGGTCCAGGCTTGACGAATACACTACGGAAGCGGAGCGGCCATTCATTTTGGTGGCACGCGGGAGCGTTGATGCGGCAACCATGCTCCAGGATGCTCGTGATGAAAATACCGCCATTGCCTGGGCCCTTAGGGCCATTGGATTCAAGGCAATGTTTTTTGGGATTTGTCTGATACTGCAACCACTAGCAATGGCAGCCGATATTATTCCCTGCATTGGAGACATCTTGTCAGAATCTATATCAGGTTGCCTTATTCCTATGGTGGCATGTATTATTTCCGTGCCTTTGGCACTCTTTGTCATCTCTTTGGGATGGTTGTGGTACAGACCTCACATTGCTTGGCCACTTGTTGCCACGGGATTTGTGCTTTCTGTTGGATTTTGCTGGTGGGCCAAGGACAAAATCAATGTCAACAGCAGCAATCATCCTGTGCCAGCCGAAATCAAGCCATCTGTTGGTGTTGTTCCAGAAAACGACAAAATTGAGCCAGATATTGAAATTGGATTACCAACTGCAGTTGGGGCTGACCAGGAGGAACCAGACATACCGGTGGTTGTTGTCGCACAAGAACCCGACATTGACCTGACCACCAATCCAAACAACCAAAATGATCCTCATGTGCCGAGCATTTTCAAAGCACCCTAACGAAGGCAAACACTTGATCTGTGTGGTCTGTGCTTTCTCCCTGCTCCTCGTTGTCCCTACCATGTATCCCGACCTTCTCTTTTGCATTTTTGGTTAAATTTGTCGAAAGTGGTACGTAGTCTAGTACTGTAGTGTACACCACACGCGCCGTACCCAGCTTGTAGACTACACCCTTCTCAATGGTCATTTTTGTGGAATGAATGAGGAGTCGAGTCGAATCGAAACACAAGTTACATGTATCCAAGGGGTTTAGTCGGAGATGGTACTCGTAGATCGTCTACGGAAGCCAGCCCGGGGCCAGGCTTCAAAGAACGAACGAGAATCGAATCCACCTACCGTACTGGTGGTTTGTACCTGCACCAAGGAGCTGTGTGCGAAGTCTGTAGATGGCTAGCTAGCTGGAGCTTGGCATTGACTGTGCAAGCTTCCTCCCAGGCTCGCAGGTCGTCTCGTCAACTCCAGGAGTACTACTAGCTAGTAGTACTTGTAGTTGATGCTCCTTCTTTTGCGCGTCTGTTGTTGCGTTAGCCGTTCCGTGCACGCAGTTTCAGGAGTGAGTCTTGCACCGGTTGTTGTACCGGTATGCTATTAATTAATCAGAGCACCTAAGGGATTGTAAAAGAGATCACCTATATCGTCTCATAAAATTGTCCTTATAAAGCTTCCATTGCAGTGAACTGTCTTTTGAATCGTCTTTCAATTTTAAAAAAAGTAATTGGCCCTGGTTTTATGGGACGATTGATCATTCAATCATTTCAGTCATGCACAAGCTGATGCAACATCAGATACACCTCTCCCTTGATATTGAAAGGTGTCTTTTAGTTTGCCTCTGTGCTAGGTGCTGGGAGAATCTTAATAACAGTATCACTGCAATACACGGCTCTTAGCCTTATTCGCGACTCGATCCTAGATAGGGTTTGAGTTCGACTCAT